ACGAAATTGGATCAATGTTTTAATCAGATTGTGCTGTTCGCTATGTAAAAAGCCCGCCACTATTTTGTTGTGGGCGATTAGAATTTATACCCTTTTTATAAAAAAAATTCGATGGAGGTAATCTATAGCGTTGATATTTTGATTTTGTTTTCTTAATTAAATGTTATATAATCAATCAATCTGAGTACATTTTAACGTGGAATAAACTGTGAGAAATCTGATATTGAAGCGAAACGAAATATAATAAAAAGAAAACAATAAAAAAAACCTACAAGAAAGCAAACAGAATTTAAACCACAATGTGACAAACGGACACTAATGATTTATCTTATATAAATGTGATAGAAAGAAATAGGTACTAAACGACTAAAATAAAGATAGGTTGCTAGTAAACCATAAACCCGTAACCGTTGTTCGAACAGTACAAGATATTGACCAAGGGCAACAACCTATTAATTAATTATCTTCCTGTCATTAACATAAACAAAGCATGTACTGTTAATGTAAAATATGTACTGTAAATATTTGATCTTAATTTTTATACTCTGATTTTTTTTCTCAATTTTTTACAATTTGATATGTAACACGAATACAGGTTCTTGTGATTTGTTCTATTATAGGAACCTGTACATTTTTTTAAAGATGCATTATGTAAGATTTAGATAAAGAGCTGGAAGCTGTTGCTAAAATTGTTAAAAAATAGATAATTAAAAATGAATAATTTGAAATTTTAGTCAAATTACTGAACGAAGTTATGAGTGTTTGAAGTTTTAACAAGTTATTTTTCAAGTAACATTGTTACGATAATAAACAAAGTCTCGATTATCCATTTTTACTTTAAATTATTAAATGGTGATTGTGTTTTAATTCATTGAAAATCACGGCCACCCGATCGTCTAGGGGGTTGATTATGGGTTTGTCATATAAATCAATGTCTAAATAATAATTCATATCTTTGAAGCTAGAAAGTATATGTGGCTTTTACATAATACATATTTAATAATATAACATTGTAACATTGTATTTATATTTATATACGGGGGGGGGGGGGAATGGTTAACGCGTGTGAGTTTGATCAGAAGGTCTGTCATTGAGTCAAGTGGCTTTGTTTCGATTCCCCTCTTATACATGACAAGGAGTAGGGTGGCCTACCCAACCACGTTGGTTTTCTCCGGGTTCTCTGTCCCACTGCTAAGGGAATTATTGAAATAAAACTGAACCATGTGCGTGTCCCGAAATAACCTATGTGTGTGTGTGTGACAATTAAACGACAACGAAAAGTAAGTAAACATGGGGTCACTGTTTTCAGTTGACTGATAATATATGTCGTGGTCTCGTTTAGTTTCAGGGGGTTGGGTGGCTGAATGGTTAGCACGTGCGCGCTGTATCATACGGTCATTGAGTCAACTGGCGTGGTTTCGATTCCCCGGTTGTACATGGCAAGGAGTAGGGTCGCCTGCCCAACATCGTGGTTTTCTCCGGGTCCTCCGGTTTCCTCCTACTACTAAAGACCCCTACGCGCAAGCGAATCAAGGAAATAAAATTGAACCATGTTAGTCCCGAAATGACCTAGTTTGTCTCGAGTGGACGTTAAACCCCATCTCTCTCTCTCTCTCTCTCTCTCTCTCGTTTAGTTTCAATACATATACTGCAGAGTCAGACCATTGACTAGCAAAATTTACCGATTATGTTTACAAATGAGGGCGGAGCTGCTCTCCCTATTTGATGAACGGGAACGCAATTAAAATTCACATGTTTTCTCTCACTGTGGGTATCGTCTTAGATCTTATATAAAGGGTGTCATTTCTATTAAAAACGTGATTTGACTTTTAATTATTTTGTGATCGAAACTTAGACCAGTTCCCATCCGCATTAATGAGATTGCTTTGTATAGCGATCGAGTGAAAGTTTATGCGGTGTCTGTTTGGTTTTACTGTTGTATAAATACATCGTATAACGATTGTTAAATACGTTTATGTTTATATGTAGGCTTGTGTGTCAGAATTCGAAAATAAATTCCTAAGCTTTACAAATCCGGCAATTTTAAAATATATTCTCCGATCGGTTTGATCGGAGTTTGTTTGGTATTTATACTTACCATTTATTTACATTGACTCGAATAATTGTTACGATTGGCGCCGGAATGTTCCCACCTCCCACTGTTGATGCAAAAGCCCATGTGATCCTTCACCTAGGATCCCCGTGCAAGCTTAAAGGGTGTATGACTCTATTCTTGGGAAACTTAAAATAGACTAAAGTCACATATTAATGTAATGTGAATGTGTATAAAGTGATTAATATTCAGTTTTTAAAACTTTTTTTGTAATTTATAATCAATTATGTTCGGTGAAATACGTGAACAGTCCAAATTTAAATGCGGTCGTTTACGCCTGCTTTTAGTCCATTCCAAACTTTTTAAAAAAATTATCATTGTGTCATCGTTTGTGAAAGCCATTACTTATTACTTGTAGGATATGTTTTTCTTTGTTAATTATAAATGGCGCCTACAACCATGGAATACACGACTCGTGTACTGATCTTAAAATGTGCATGGTGTCTTAAATATTTGATGTAAGCATCCTACATTTTCACGGAAAGATAACAACCTCAATTTTCTTTGAATTGGACCAATATTAATTTCTAATTTGTGTTTTTAACTTCAAATATTGTGGAAAATCCGGCACTTCTTTGTATCTTTGTAACCATGTTAACACACCGCCATCGTCATCTGGTCTACTTGAATTTATGTAAATTTCCTGTCTGGGTACGACGAGGAAGTATGTTGAATTTTCAGTCATTTTCTGTGAAACCATTGCAAAAAAACCTAGAGGCTAATATTGCGATCCGGCCTTTATGAAAATGTTGTCAGTGTGAAGTATCCTTTCCTTATGTCAATTTACGACGTTAAATTTTGGGTTTATGTCGCCTTGTAATCAAACCATGTTAACTATAGACCATGGAGGCTAGCATCATATCTTATCGAATACAAACATACAACTGGGCCCCTTTCGGCAAGCAGGTAAAACGGAAATGTCAAGCTGGATTTACGTCTGAAATGTTTCATTATATATGAAAGGACCCGGATCATCAACTTTACTGGTTTGTCTAATAATGTTCAAGTTTAAACTAATCAGAGGTAATAATTATCACATATTCAACCGCTAAAATATTACACAAACCCATTCGAAATAAGAGTAGACTGTAGCGCCGCTGTCCGGGCAAAAACTCCCTTATAGTATAGACAGTATAAGATATGCCCGTCTTCATAAACCCAGTCTGTGCAGAAAAGTAGGACGTTCAGGGCCGTATCTAGCGGGGGTGCAGGCGGTACATTGCACCCACGGAAAAATATGGCGCCCCGAGAAATAGCGCCCCCCCCCCCAAAAAAACAAAATTGATAACCTTTCAATCATAAAATAATACACTTGATTATGATCACACAGTAATGCTCTTAAGGCACTGATCAGTCGGTCTTTTTTTTTAAGGGCGCCCACATTTCAATGAGTAACTTGGGCATTTTTTTGGCGCCCCACCACTCTGCTGTAACCCCACCTTTAAAAATCCTACATACGGCCCCAAGGACGTTAGACCCCCATTTCATTTGATTGCATACCGTTCATTGCTTTTTGACCTTTGCTGTCAATATCGGCTTGTTTCACCGGATTTTTATATATTTATTATACATAAACAAAACATGTTAGGTCGTCCCCCAAATATTATTCGATTGACGTACTTATATTAGCAAAATGCATACGTCACAAGACACAAAATGAATGTACAATTGATATCTGTGCTAGCGGTCTATAACTTTAGCTACCGTAGGAGAAATCGTGTTCCAGCGTTTTTATTAGCTAACCAAAACGCCGGTAATATAACAACCCTTGCAGATCCTAGTGTGAAGACAAGTAAAACGAAATTTTGAACTATAAAAAACGAAACGAAATAAGATCTCTGTTTTAATCAGATTGTAAGCCCACCAGAAGACTGAGAATTTTTGTGAAAAACAATTTAAAATTGCATTCGGTTGCTGTCTTGTTTTATTTTTCATAATTAGAAATTATTAAATTTGGTAACTTATGCAAGGGCAGAAATTGAGACGGGTGCGCCTCAACTAGATCCGGCATTGTTTAATGGACACAGATCACCAAATATTCCTACGCCGTCACCCCGTCAGATCACCAAATATTCCTACGCCGTCACCCCGTCACCCACGAAACAAGGGCCAAAGCTATTTTTAGTCTTCCTCTCCCTTTTCCTTTTTCCCCCTTTTGCATGGCGATTTTTGTTGACTTTTTGGTGTAGAATCGAGGAAAAGGGTTTGAAAATACATTTTCTGCCAGGTTTTGGTGAATATTCATATTTTTGATGCGGAAGGATACAAGAGTTGAGAGGTTGGTTAGGTTGAAATGTAGGGCCTGAAATTGCATGTTTACTTGTCTCTACTTCCAGCTTGTGTATCTCAAGTTTTTCATGAAGAACCTCATACGTGCTTTTGGGTAAGTGGTTGCCACATGTTGCTCCATCTGTGGTAGAAAGCGTTCTACCCAACGAAAATTTGGGAAAAAGTAAGAGCCGGTCTAAGATACGAGAATTAACATTGGAGTCAATGGGGAAATCTTTAGTGATCTGTGTCCTAATGCTTATGCATTAAAGGGGGATAATGTAAGCCAAAGGTCTGGTTGAAAACATAAAAGGGGGATGACTCTTGTTTTACTATCAACAGATTTGAAGATAATGTCTGTGTCAAAATAATTAGTTGACACACGATTGTGTTTGTTTTCTGTTAAAATAATAGTTTTAGTGTTTACTACATCTATCCATCATTTCATTATTAATCATTTATGATTGATTCATTCTGAAAATTCGGGTGACAAAGAATATTTTCGGGCAAATAGCCTCGGCCCCCAACCCCCAACTGAGATTGACCGCTCCACCCCCCTACTAGTAACTAAGTCAGATAGACAATAATAAAATTAGGATTCACAAATGTACAAATTAATTTGAAATGGTTTTTTTCTAATCTGATCCTAAGATTGTGAGGTCTATTAAGACAGAAATAAAACTTTAAATAAATTGAGTTTATTCGAATAGTTAATGATATGGAACAGAACAACATTTCATGATCTTGGGGTAATTTTCTGTAATTTACATTTGTTAACATAACAAAATAAAATATATTATAAATTAATAAAATGGAGAGAGCGTTTAAAACGAAGTCATTTCGGGACTAATATATATGTTTTGATTTTAATTTGATGGAGCATTGTATTGTCCTGTTGGAATATTCTCATACCTGGGTGCAGTTACAGGAGTGTTACATTAGTTTGTAAAATATCTCGGGGGTAGGAGTCTAGTGGTGTGAAATTACAAGGTCTGTCATTGAGTCAGGTGGCGTGGTTTCGATTCCCCGCTTGTACGTGACAACAAGTAGGGTCATCCAATCGCCCCCCACACACACACTGCTAAAGATCCCTTCATGCAAGTGAATTATTGAAATAAAATTGAACTGTGTGTTAGTCCCAAAATGACCTAGTTTGATGTGTCGAGTGGACGTTAAACTTTCTCTCTCTTTCCCTTCCTCTCCCCTCTCTCTGTAAAATATCGTTTGTGCTTCATAACGACAAGCTGACATTTGCCGAAACGTCGTGCTTTATGTGTACTGAGTAGCCATTGTTTTGTCATATAATGTTGTGTTTTATATTGTGCTCAATCTCTAAATGCCTATCAAGTTGTAGGCAGACGAGCGTATTTTTTCGCCCGATTGCGCCGATTTTTAAAATCGCTCAAAAAAAAAGGCCGTGTGCCCATTCACGGCGACGACGATTCTGCTCGACAAACCATTCGTCCGATAAATCTCTCGTATCTAGCATGTTACATATTTTCGGCCGAATATATTTCGCCGGCGATCAAATTCGCGTATGTTGTCGGGCAAACAATTTTTTATAAGCCAATCTGAGACATGATTAATATCACATGATCTCAAAATGTCTGCCTCCAGTGCCGAAGCGTGGAATCTAATTCCATTACCACAAGTTTCAATTTGTCCAACGAGCCATTCTAGGTATTCTCCGTTTTATTTTTAGCAATTAAATAGCAAGCTACAACAGAAATCTTACGATTTCGACTATTCGCCATTTAGAACAAATCACATGATCGGTGTAATTTACTCGCAAAATGGTATACACTCTGGAGACGACCGCTAAGTGTACCCTTTCGTTATCGGCCGTAAAAAAATCCCTGGCGAATTTTATTCGACGCGATAAGGCGAAAAAATACGCTCGTCTGCCCTTAGCACCAGGAATAACAATGGATGTGTTAATGCATGCGTTCAATTCATTATCGTATGTTATCTGTGAGAACTTAATAAATGACAAAGATGTGGTATCAGATGTTCTATCTTCTTGAAAGGGTTGGGGAATCCCCAATTTAATTCGTTGAACTACAACACTAAAAAGTGTAAGATGGGCAGGGCTACAATTCATTATAAAAAGATGGAATGCTTCCACTAATATACCCGCAGATTGTCCAATTATAAGGATGTGTATTATCATATGGATGCTGCTCTTGGACTGAATGTTGTTTTAAAGGAGGCAAGTCTTTAACTCAGTATTATCCACAGTCTTCGACATTGAAAACACACGACTTATTGGTCAGTTTAAATCAACATTGATGGGCTTCTGATATCCAATATTTAAGACAAAATGAAAGTTTTGATATGGGTCGCAACGCATATAATAATGTATTACGAATGTATATAAACTGATTTACATTCAATCGTTTCCGTTTTTACTGTAATCAGTTATGTTCGGCGAAATACGCCAGAAGTCTCAATCGAATGTCAATCTTTAGCGTCTGGTTATTCCAGTCTACACCGAGAGTGTTTATTGCGCATGCTCTCCAGATAAGAACATAATGTCACCGTTTGACATGACTTATGAAATATATTTAGCCTCGTTCTTCGAGTCCCGTGTAACAAATGGCGCTAAAACGCATTATGGTACACGATTCGTGTACCAATGGTAAAATGTTTATTTTGTCTTAAATATTGGATATCAGAAGCCCATTTTTTCCAGGAAAGATGACAACATTAATGTTGATTTAAATTAAATAATAATTCGTGTTTTAAATGTCGAAGACTTTGAATGATATTGAGTTAGAGACTCACCTACTTTAAGTTAACCATCTATGACAATCTGGCTGGCATAAAATGCCACTACAAGAATAATACCAAATCCTACAAGTAACCCGAATATTTGTAAAAACATTATCTTCCACGGGTTGTGTTTTTGTCGCTGGAATTCATCGGCTACATGACTCAGTTCCGGTAACTGTAAAAGACATAATAAAGTTTATATACTAGTTTTAGGGGTGTCTTTGATAAAAAAAAGGATAATCAATAATATTTTATCGTCTTTTAGAAAACATATTGAATAAAGCAATGTGAATAAGTAATAATGCTAGGTTCCGACTGTCGTGCGATGCTCAACGATAGGACTGTCCCTGTTGAGTCCACGTTCGGATACGTTTCAATACGATCAACACGATTGCTACGATTAACATCAATATATAATAAGACCTGACAGGATCACCACGATTACTCTACGATTAAAACGACGATCCTGATGGTGGGATCTAGCATAATATATAAAATAATTTATGTTAATGACAAATGACAATGACTCTTTCTGTTCTACTAAAATTCTATCTAACACAGAGACTGAATTCGAGTTATACCCCGTCAGACCGGAGTGGCGTCCTTACTGCGCTGCTATGGCGACGGAAAATGGTCTCAGAGCGTGTCAAGATCGTCATTAACGTGGTAAAAGCGTGATGGAAACGCCAGATATCGTGCTGTGGTCTCGTGGTCACCAATGATCGCCGAGTCACGGCGCTTGTTTTGAGCTGCGATCTGACCTGGAAAGCTGTGAGAAGGCGACGTTTGTAATTTTTGGGACATTTTTTCGCGTTGTGTTCACGTTTGCCGGCGACCTTGTGCATTTTCTGGTCGCCGTACGGTCGCAGCAGCGCAGTAGGGACGCCACCCCGGTCTGACGGGGGCTTTAAATGCAGGACGGGGGGGGCTGACAAGGCCAGCTGTCTAGTCGCTCGGATGGGACGAAAAACCGAGGTACCGTGTACACATTAGCGTGCACGTAAAAGATCCATTGACAGTTGGAATTCCATATAAAGTTAGGTCGTAATGCCGCTGTCCGGGCAAAATTTCCCTCATAGCACACTGTATGGCGTATGCCCGTCTTCATTATAGCTAAGTGCGCTTTAGATTATAAGGTCTGTTGGTGAGTACATTGCAGAACCAATGGAATTGAAGGCCCGAGGTGCATAATTGTGCGTTACTCTCTCTCTCTCTCACCCTCTCTCAACATAAGAGAAGAACTTACCATATCAACCAATGAAACATATAGAAATAAGCCACCTGCTATAGCAAATATCCAGCGATTGGCTGACGTATTTTCTCCTAGGAGTATACCAATAATAAGACCAACATAACAAATAACCGCTGCCAGAAAATTATATAATAATGCCCTCTTCATACTCAAACCACTGTGTAATAAAATAGCTATATCACCTAGAACATAATAAACAGAAAAGTGATATATCACAATAAATGATTACTGTTTCCTTTATACCTTAAAGGGGTTGCCCTGAATGATACGCCCACATTTTGCATACATGGTAGTAAATACTTTTACACTATTTGCGTACAGGGAGCAGCCATTTTGTCGGGCATTTCCGGTCCGATTTTCACGGAATTCGACGTCAACCATCATTAGCGTGTAACGGTGATGTGATTGAACGGTTTTTAAAATCAAATAAAAAATTGGGACTTCTAGGGGGAACACAAGCTAAAAACGCTATTTTTCGTACATTCAGGGTCCATTACCCAGGAACAGGAAGTTACAGTCGGATATGCGCGAATATTGAGATATTTGGGATATAAAAAACATAGATATAAAAGTAACTGCTCGATGGTCCATGTGGCCCCTGCATATCCACCCGTGGGCCTATCAATCCGACTGTTCCTTCAGCGCAACTGGGGTTATTGTAAGTACGTAAAGGATATAAATACCTAATTCGTGAGGAAGTTCTTCACACACTACAGCAATAGAAACACTAACACCCGTATAAATATTCTCAGTAAATGCTGCTCCAATAGATAAACCATCTACAAAATTATGTAAAGCGTCACCAATTAATACCATCCAGGCTACAGTTGACACAGTTTTCTGCCCTGACTCGACAAGTGTATTACCAGGAAAATGACTATGACCATGTCCATGATCTGTAGACAACGGAACTTTAATCTCTACACTGTCTGAAGGTGGGTTCTGAAATATGAACGCACTAAATACCAAAATTCGAAAAAAGATATAATACTGGGGCCTGTTTCACGAAATTTTAACTAAGATAAAATCCAAATTTTAGTCATTTGATTGGATAATATTAGATTGATTTTAGTGCTTAGCCAATCAAAATTGAAGTATCTACTAAAATTTGGATTTTATCTTTAGTTCAGATTTCGATTAACAGGACCCTGTTTTTATAGGTATTAAGAAATACAAACTTAGAATTGCATTGTAAACAATTTGAATCAGTGTTAAAAAAAACTCGAAAGAAGAAAGAGTAGAACTGTCCATCAGATTTCAAAGGATAAAGCGGATATACTAAATGCCCTGTTAACACAAAAGTTTCAATTTTTAAAGAATAAAGTAGAACCATTTTAAGAATAAATTAGAGCTATTTTAGGAGTAAACTGAAACTATTTTTAGAACTCCAGATTTTGTGAACGCGAGAGAGGCTACAGTTGTTGACGCATTCTTTTCAAACCTGGAGTGCAGCTTTCGGCGACATTCCGTTCCGGAGTTACCCCCCTCCCACCCCTTTGCCGAAAATCTTGTGAATGCGATAGAGGCTATAATTTTTAGCGGACTTTTGTAATATTTGGTGGGGAGCATTGGGAAAATGAGAAGGGAACGCTGTCGATATTCAATGTTCTGCGACTTTGGGAAGTGTTGGGGTCATGTGAGGATGAACATTATCGATATTCAACATTCTGCGACTTTCCGTTCCGGTGTCACCCTATTTATATTCAGTTATCCCCCTTTGTCAAAAGCATTGTGTAGGGAGGGATCGAACACGGGGTCTTCAGGTTAGCGAGCCAAAGTTCCACCCACTGAACCACCGTGGCTCCCCAAATTTAGTGGGAAGCATTGTGGTCATGAGAGGATGGACCCTATCAATATTAAGTGCTTTGTGACTTTCTGTTCGGGATCATAAGATTTAATCAAAATGAAAATTATATAGATCTTATTTTACGGTACCTTCGGTTTGTAAAATAATATTTTCAGGATTCGTTCAGATAGGTAGAAGATATAAATTCCCGCCATAGCTGTAGCGGATTTCCATAAATAATCATCTGCTATTTCATCACATCGCATTAAATCAAAGGCCTGTCATGGAAAACAATGGTACTTGGTAAATACATTTTTATTTAAAGATTATTGCTGGCTGACTATATAAGGATCATTTTGTAATGGACATTTTACTTTTAAGGGTCAATAAAACATTTCACGGCATACAAATTCTATCTGTTATAACGATTGTGGCATTTAAATGCTATGGTTGGGCGTCCTCGCTGAAGGAATTCCCACCAGGCGTCGCTAGTAAAAACTCGGTTCCGCGTGACCTTATCGATGATAAGAGAACCGTATTTCGAAGTCTCCGGATTATATTCTATATTAATGACAAAAATAAATGTTTGTCAACACACGTGTTCGTAATGAATGTACAGGAAAACAATGCTGTAAGGTAAACAATGGGGTCACGTGGGACCACCTGCTCTATGGTGTTACCTATAAATTATACCTTACTTTTGTATTTTAAAGAGAAACATTGAATTGTCATTAACACTTTATTTATAATAATCTTTAGGTGGCATTTAGTAACTGGATAGAACAATAAACTCTAACACATACTTATGGAAAAACAGCTACTTATTTAACACATACTTATGGAAAAGTATGGAAAAACAGCTACTTATTTTTTTAGGCGATGTTTCGAAGAGTATTCAATCAACGTTATCAAGCTAATACAATATCAAGCTAATACAATATTGTATTAGCTTAATAACGTTGAGAGAATACTTTTCGAAACGTCGCTCAAATAAATGAATAACTATTTTCCATAAGTATGTGATATAGTTTTAACACATACTTATGGAAAAACAGCTACTTATTTATTTGGGCGACGTTGCAAAGAGTTTTCTCTCAACGTGATCAATTAAGTACATGTAGCTGTTTTTCCATAAGTATGTGTTATAGTTTATTACTTTATTTATTAATGAAAGGGTTGCTGATATAATGAGCTTAAAGCAGTCATACCTCTGGTAAAAGTACGAGTAATCCTGTAGCCGCCAATGTTCCCACTGCCATAGCAACCAAGAAAGTCAACAATTTCTGGAAAAATTCCTTCTCCATCAACGGACCTAACAGGCCTCCTATGTTTGAGATAACACACACCAGGGTGACAAAACCAATACCATAGCCCCATACTTTAAGAAAATAGATCGAACATATATTAAAAATTGTAAGACATATTGGGAGACATAAAGCTAAATCCGTTAAAAGTTTTCAACTGATAGAAAGATATCATAACTTGATTCACATCTTCGAAATATTACAATAATTCACTATAAAATTAATTATTTTACGGAAATTAAGCTCATAGATCTATCAAAATGCTCTAATCCAAATGATTCATTTTCTGTATGCCACTGACTTCGATACAAGGTGTTCTATGGGGCTTTCTAGTTTGGTGTACAGTTGTCACTGGTGTATGACGGAGTGCCTGGCAAGCAAACTTTTCTTGGTGTTGGGGTGGTATAACAAAACTGCTCAGTATGAGTGAATTTACGCGACGACTTTGTGGATTAAACATTTAAAACATAATTTCATGTTTATAACATCCTTATTGATAAACAGTCCCTTTGGTCAGATTTTCGGCCAAACAAAGATGCGTGAGCAACATAGAGTGCTAAACATACGCCAAATCTGTAATTTCATGTTTATAATATCCTATTAAACAGTCCCTTTTATCAAATTTTCAGACGATGAGTGAACAAAAGAGAGGGTTAAGCATACGCGAAATGTATATGGTTGCTATAGAGACCACGACGAGCGTGTTGTACCAATTACAACACTTCCGGTTTTAACATTTTAATAAAAAATAATAATTTCTCGCTTACAAAATCTTGTTTGCTTGTGTTACAGGGGGGTTGTTTCTGATACATATTTAAAATTTATGGAAGCCTTGTTGAAAATCGTTAGTCTTGCCCTTTAATACATAATTATTTACTTGACAAAATGTTATATTTTAATATTTAAGGACTTACCTAATCCTGAGCTGGGCCGTTTGCCATGGGAACCATCGCCTTTTCTATTTACACAGTTGTCATCGACAATAATATAAACCAAAGAAGATAAGGCTTCTATAAGATCTATGGATGTTAGACCATCTCCGTCCCGATTGTATAAATTGTAAACATCGTCAACTGTTAGACACTGAAATTAAATATATAAACAACACAACGATCAGCGAACTGGATCTATAACCACACGATCAAATGTTTTTTGGACTTTGACCTCGCCCCTCCACCTGCAATATCCGTTTCCATTCATGAAAATAAAACAAGCAGTTACTTAGACAATGGTTCCACTACTGATGTCTTCCGTCTTGCTCAAGCCACAGTAGTGGTTCGTCCTAAGGCCTTCTTTTGAGCAAGTTTTATAGTCAGGTGACTACAAAAAAGTTACTGTCCTATAACACCCTTAATTTCCAATTACACTGACCTCAAACTGTACTGTTCATAGCTTAACATATAATAAACCAATTCCTATTGGAATAAAGGTTAAACTTTACCGTATAATTATGTGATTTGATTAAACCCAACTGCTATGCGAAATTTCGGTTCATTTTAAAGAGGCTGCCGAACCAGAATCACGTGATTTCATGTCACTCGAAAATAAAGAAGAACTGTTTGGTAAGATAAGATTGAGATTTCAGTGTTCCGCTCTTCACTATTTGTAACTATGATGATATTGTAGCTAGCGGTTACCATACAAGGTTTTGCAAGAGATGGGTGAGGAACAGGGAAAATCAATAGAACTAATCCTAACGGTGTCCCAATCCTTTACACAGAATTAGAGTTAGGTTTTGATGCACACCATCGAAATCGAACAAAAATTGTAGCTCATGGAACGTGTACAATATTTATACATATTTCACATTTTGCGTAAAAAGCGGGGGATATAACTCTAGAATGGAAGTAGTGGCGGTGCCAGCCATCGGTGGTTGGAGGGGCAAAGCTGGGGCAAAGTCCAAGGTTAAGACGGCAAAGGCACGAGTTTCAACTAGGGGTAGGGGGGGGGGGCTCCCCCAGAAGATTTTGAAAATCAGGCTGCCGGAAATGCAGTCTGGCAGTATTTCACGAAATTCGGAATCAACCATAATTATTTCAACGGGTCTACAAGCTAAAATCGTGGTTGTTCGTACAATCAGGGGTCCTAATCTATAAATTTATAGTCCGATATACGCCAATATCGACAGGAATCCTTTGCGATACAAAGCTACGTCGTAAGTTTAATTTAAATCGGATACAGTTTGTGACCTCTAGAGGTCGTGATTTTTCGTACAATCAGGAGCCGTCTGCCATGACGCTACCGTCCGATCGAAATGAGTTATAAACCTATATTTCAAGTTTCGCCAAAATCAAATAAAAATTCTGACCTGTAGAGGGTCCACAAATGAAACGAACATCCGGGCGGACGGGGCAACAAAATGTAGGCATATAAAAAAGCAAAAGCTCTCTCTGGAAACGGGTCATTCACCCTTGTACTTGAGGGGAGGAGGGGGGGAGGCGGGGGCGAATGGTTAGTGCGTGCGCGCTGTATCATTGGATCTATCATTGAGTCAACTTGTATGGTTTCGATTCCCCGGTTGTATCCGACAAGGAGTAGGGTCGCCTGTCCTACCTCGTGGATTTTCATCGCGTTCTCCGGTTTCCTCCCACTGCTAATTAAAGATCCCTACGCGCATGGTTAGTAAACATATCGGGGCATGGGTGGGGTCTAGTGGTCAGATCAGGATAAGATAAACTACCAATATACCTACCTAGTTTGTGTCGAGTGGACGTTAAACCCTCCCTCTCTCTCTCTCTCTCTCTCTCTCTCTCTCTCTCTCTCTCAAGCGCATGATGAACGTGTGTTATTCTATTATATCTATGCTTTAATGCGATACTACATCTACTACACTTGGTATTAACTGGATCGTGCTTTCCGTAATAAGATAGTGGTCAAAATCTACTTTCGAATGGTTCCTGACCGGAATGTTCCAAATGACAGTGCTATAAAGTTTAGTTATAATCTTAAAGTAGCTAAGTCTCTAACTCAATATCATCCAAAGTCTTCGACATTGAAAACACGAATTATTTGTTAATTTAAATCAACACTGATGTTGTGATCTTACCGGGAAAAGATGGGCTTCTGCTATCCAATATTTAAGACAAAATAAACATTTTACCATTGGTACACGAATCGTGTACCATAATGCGTTCAGCGCCGTTTGTAACAAGGGACTCGAACATAGACATATTCCGCAAATTATGTCAAACGGTGACGTCATATTCTTATCTGGAGAGCATGTGCAATAAATACTATCGGTGTAGATTGCCATTCGATTGAGACTTCTGGCGTATTTCGCCGAACATAACTGATGTGAAATTAGAGTAAAAACGGAAACGATTGAATGTAAATCAGTTCATATACATTCATATTACATTATTATATGCGTTGCGACCCGTTTGTGTCAATTTTTATGTTCCAAATATTTACGGTTTAGCTCCTTTAAACTTCTTTCAGTGCAAAAATGTTTTTGGAAAAGTATGTTATATACAGACCTAATTATTTTATCATAGTTATACGAGTAGACCTTGATTAGATCAGAGATTGTCATATCTTAATTACTAAGACGTATCAAATGATGCAAGTTTGGTGTCTTATCGTGGATAATAACCAACTGAAATGAATTGAAATGGGGTTTAACGTCCTACTGTTCTGCTCCGAACTGGGCTTATGAAACAACTGGTATGGTCGTAACACGGATCTTGTATTATGGTCAGTCAATAATAAACTCTACTACTCTAAGAAAATTAACCAAATGCAACATACTGATGGGGGAAACGGACTTTTGTTTATCGAGTGATCATATTACGACATGTATAACAGAGACACACAACAATTATGATAAAGGCAATACTAATGTAGTAACTAATACTTAAAGTAGCTAAGTCCCTAACTCAATATCACCCAAAGTCTTACACGTTGAAAACACGAATTATTTGTTAATTTAAATCAACATTGATATTGTGATCTTACCGGTAAAAGGTAGGCTTCTGATATCCAATATTTAATATAAAATAAATATTTTACCATTGGTACACGAATCGTGTAACATAGTGCGTTTCGGTGTCAGTTGTAACAAGTGACCAGAAAGAACGAGGCTAGACATATTCCACAACTCATGTCAAACGGTGAGGCTATGAGAGCATGCGCAATAGATTGGAATAACCAGAAGAAAAATAGTCGGTCGCAAAATCAGTGAAGTCGGTCGCAAAATAAGAGCAGTCGGTATCAAAATAAGTGCTTAGTATAAAATAACCTTATCAACTTATCACGTTTGAGAAAATGTTGTGTTTAACTCTTATTCTGTTTGTGAGTATGTTTGTCTATGAACAAAATTTCCCCCAGGGAGAAAAATAGTCGGTCTCAAATAAGTGCAGTCACTGCAGTCGGTCTCAAAATTATGCATCGGCGACTCAATGAAGTAATGAGGTAAACAAGCAATGCCAGAATAGATCCCAAATACTATGTATTTGTGTGAATCCGTGAGCCTAAATTGCATACGTCACACAAAACTATAGTATAAAATAACCATGTCTGCTTGTCATGTTTGAAAAAATGTTTGTCACTCTTATTCTGTTGTGAGTATTTTGTTCTATGAAATGTTTTTCCCTCATGGCAAAAAAATAGTCGGTCTCAAAAAAGTACTCACCGCAGTCGGTCTCAGACTAAATGAATTAATGAGACAAACAAACAATTACAAAACAGGCGAAATTGACAGATAGGCCACAAGATTCTGTCTCATTTCTTATCCCCTTGTTAGCGAGAATTTGGTTCCATTTGCCATGACAATGACTAAAATTTTCAGGCCCAGTTCCGAAAAATTAAAAGCTCGGTTACATATCTGAATTGTGTCGCGCCTGCGGCGCTCGATTCCGTTATAACATTGTTCTTCAGAGTATACAAATGTTATGTCAACTCTTGCGAAACAGGCGGAATTGACAGGGGCAGATATCGAGATTCTGTCCCATTGGCTCACATTTTTGGTCCTCTCGTCCTCAAGACTTTCTCCCAGCAATGACCTCAATTTTTCAAAATTTTCTCAGGTTGCTCAGTGTTATAGGCACAATCATCATATATGACATAAACTTTATGTCAACTTAAATAAAACTGCTTTCCGGCGAGACAACGATCGGCGAACAACTATATAATTATACAATACTATCTATGTTCTACTGGGACGTTTAATGTTATAGCCAGTATTTTGTTGACATTCATTGTGGGGTGGGATTGTGGATGGCGCCCTAGATTTGGAACCACCCCCACCCACCCCCTATTCCTAGCTTCTAGATCCGCTCTGCACATGGCTCCTAGAAAACTCGCACCTATGGTGCGCGGTTCCTGACTGCGTCACTCGTACTGGGGGTATGTGCATCAGTCGGTCGCATTTTGGCTAAACACCCCCCAAAACAAAATCGTTATGTACGCCCCTGCTTTGGTCCTTGAGACAATTTTGGGTTCTTTGCAAAATTATTTCTTCACTCTGTCTCACGTACTTAATGAACGAGAATAGTTACACATAAAAAACAGTGATATTTTGGTTAAATCATAATCATTGTCAAAATATCCAACAAATTCTGGCTGTTTATTGACCTATGGTTGGTAGACCAAAATAGGTAATGTCTCCTATCTTAGTTGTTGGAAATAAAGAGGTTTATTCCATATATGGCATGGAAATTAATGTCAAGGTTATCGAAGACCTGGAGAAATTAGGGGGTATAAATTAGGGTGTGGAAGCGAGCTGGGTCAGAGCTCACCCAGAAATTCCTAGCAGCCATTAGTATTGAGAACGAGGAACCTGCAAAGCCATTACAGCTTAGCAATAAAGTTGTGAAACTATTTTATGCTGTAGTCTTGTTAAGATCACCAGGAAATAAACACAACAAGAAGTCCTATAGTACTACACGGGGTGCCAGCCACGAAAGAATGGGTTTTATTTTTCAGGGAAAGATGACCCCGCCCCCCACCACCATCCATGTAAAAGAAATACAACCAAAAGAAATAATTAAAAACAGTGGGATTTTGTGGGTTGTCAATGTGGATATTCAAATAAACATATCAACTTTCGTAACCTTTAAATGACAATCTCTAATGCTATAAATGTAAGGCCAGAGCTATCCTTACATGGGCGTCACACATGGGGGGGGGGGGGTCTGAATATACTTGGACACCCCCCCCCCTCCAAAAAAAAAAAAAAATTATATAGTAGGCAATCAGTGTGATAATAATATTGCGTAGCTTTGTCGTCGCCACTGCAAGGTAAAACTGACGAGCATGTTTCTGTCTTAAACCGAATTTTGAGATCGACAACTTTGAGCGAAGTACTGGCGAATTAAAGTGTACGTACGTACATGTTTTAAGATAACTAGGATTAGTACCAATATACGTTTATATAAACGAATACATCTCCATAAACTTAGGCGTACAAGCCCGGTCAGCTTTGGGGGCGGGGGCAGAAATGGGAGTGTCCGAAAAGTTGTCCGTCGCGGCCGGCGAAGGCGAAAATTTTGAAAATAAGACGGTCGCAAACGCGTTTTTCGACAATTCCGACCCGTGAATAAAGCAAAAAGAAAGTAGTCAAATATAGCTTTATTTATGTGACTTTGGAACCGAACGACCGCTCAAGTCGGGGGATATGTGGGGGAATATCCCAACGAAAATGTATGAAAATAAAAAGGCCGGAAACAAAAGCAGTTTTCCTGCTATTCCGTTTCCTGAGTACAGTGGCAAGATATAAACTTATTTAAGTGGCTCCGGAACCGAAATTCCACTTTCTGCCAACTTGAATTACAAATGTTCCGAGAGAGGGGGCAGAAATGAAATGACCGAAAATATTCCCGCTCAGATTCGTGGGGTATGGGGGCGATATCCCCCGCATTTATGAAAATAAGGGCTCGATGACAAGTTAAGGGGGGGGGGCAGAACCCGAAATTTCGGGTTTACAGACCTTCGGGAGACGAAGAAGCGGTGCTTACCTTAAAATGGACCCCAAAAGAAAATTTTAGAATACTTGACGGCAGCAAACGCGTTTTCCGGTTACTTCTGCCCATGAACAAAGAAATTTCAAAGTGGTCTAATATAGCCTAATTCCAAACAACCAATCAATCGTCCCGGGAGAAAATTTTGAAAATTTAACCACCGCAAATGCGTTTTTCTGCTATTCTAGCCCGTTAGTTAAGCAACTCAGTACAAATTCGTGTTATTCAATTAAAAGAAAAGTAAAATTAGTGTTTTATTAGATTTCGGGCGGGCACTTTATTTTGCCAAGTAGATGAAATAAAAAAACAAAATTTCACTTTGCCCCCCCCCCCCCGGCTCGTACGCCTATGAAGACGGCGGCAAACGTGAATACTGCAACCTGAAAATGCCCCAATATGGTTTATCAATCAACCGGTTAGTCAATCATACTATTACGTTGGATTAGAAATTAACTGATGTAAACAAGAATGATGGTATTTATACTACATACACACACCACTATAGTGTCTACTATATGACTACTATATACTAAACCGGTTATTAATATTACATTATGTCACGTTCATGTACTTGAGGAACGTATAACGATCACGTGATCGAGACACACACACGAAAAATATCTGGAAATATATAAGCTTAGTTATTGAATAACGGAAAAAATACCGAGGACACGATCAGGGGTCATTGGAAAGCGTGACATGTAAAGCGTGAAAGTGTGGAACTCATGAAATCTAACTCGTGTTTCAGTATTATTGAAATTCGAGAAAATTAAATGTACTTGATTTTTGTATCGTATCGAATTACATTAAACATATTATATAAGACATATAAATTGATAATAAATCAATCAATTCATAATAGACCATTGTTTTGTTCCTACCTTAGAGTCCGTCAAATTATCAGAATGAGAATACCCATTGTTATTTGTAGCAAGATGAACTGTGTCAGGGGTTGTGCATTTCGAAGACAATCGCACGTGGTCAGCCAATTTACGGAACTGCACAATACCGAGCCTTTCATTTTCTCCATACGTTTCAATAAGTTCCTCTGTGTATGTAGTTGTGAGATTATTATAATGACAGTCACTCCCACTAGGGTGCACAAACGCTAGACCAGTGTGTAATGCTATCACCAAGTTTAATAGCGTGAAAACAGTCTTTAGCGTGAACATTTTGTGTAGGTTAATTCACAACATACGATGTGTTCCGGTACATGTACTTCTAAAAATAGATCTATACTCTATATAGCGTTCACGCTAGACTAAAGAAATCCACCCAGCAGTTAACTTGTCGTTAAATATCAACAGTTGGCATTACAAAATAAGTTTTAGACGCGAACAAAGAATGTTTCTAATATTGTCGTCTCAAACCTTCTAACATTAGATATATTGTTATGAAATTGTATTAAAATATATCATAACTAAACGTCCTTATTGTGAAAAACACGAACTAAATACGGAAACTCTTGTTACATCTGAAAACACGTTCTCCACAGTATTTTCCCAATGTGATTTACATACATCACCCTCGTGTGTATTAGTAACATTTATATAATGCAACTGATCTTAATGCACCACGTTATATAATCAAAATAGAGCAGAGTTACAAATTATCTTTCTTATTAAAAGATAACGGGATTCAAACTTCGGTTGATCATGCAAACGTCACCATCATTAAAGTTGTATGCAACCAAAGCTTTACTCTGTGAACATAATTAAGTGACGGTGTACATGACAAATTCTTATCTTAACACCTTGTATATACTACTCACTCTATAATGAATATACATACTTATATGAGAATTATCAGTATAGAACAACAATTACATGTGTATCTCCTTCAATCTAACGATAATATCTTCTGTTCTCATAGAGATAAATGTATCTTTTTAGAAATAACTGGCTATTGTTTCCATGCGTGTTTATCTATTACCAATGATTCTAATATCAGTTCTCCGATTAAACTGGCGCACGTGACAAGGAGTAAGGTCGCCTGTCGTGCTAAAGACCCCTACGCGCAAGCGAATTGTTGAAATAAAATTGAACCATGTGTGTTAGTCCCGAAATGACCTAGTTTGTGTCGAGTGGACGTTAAACTCTCTCTCTCTCTCTCTCTCTCTCTCTTTGTCTCTTATGTACCTCGAGCCGAACGACTAGAAACTGTCCGATTGGCTTTAAATGTATACACAGTGTATAAGATCATGAGACGACGACGCCTATTGTATTGATTTTCGCCAATTTCCGATGATTACTGTCAGAGTTATGGCCCTTGATCACTTTGAAAAATATCTTGTTGACGCTCTAGAGGCTAAAGTTAATATCCGATTGGCTATAAATTTATACACAGTGCTTAAGGTCATGAGACAAAAAAGCCTATTGATTTTCACCGATTTCCAATGATTACTGCCAGAGTTATGACCCTTGATCACTTTGAAAAATCTTGTGGACACTCTAGAGGCTAAAGTTAATATCCGATTGACTTTAAATTTATGTACAGTGTTTAAGATCACCAGACGAAGAAGCCTATTTCCGATAATGACTGCCAGAGTTATGGCCCTTGATCACTTTTGAAACATCTTGTAGACGCCTTAAAGACTAGTTAATATCCGATTGACTTTAACTTTATACACAGTATTTAAGGGTATGAGATGAAAAAGCCTATTGGTTTTCAACGATTTCTGATAATTACTGCCAGAGTTAAAGCCCTTGACCTCTTTGAAAAATCCTGTAGACGCTCTAGAGGTTAAAGTTAATATCCGATTGACTTTGAATTTATACACGGTGTTTAAGGTCACCAGACGAAGAATCCTATTGATTTTCAACGATTTTCAACTCCTCTTGACTGCCCGGACGATTTAGCTGCTTTGGGCGTATGTTTCGTTGCAGTGAGATACCTCTTATACAATGTGGTTAAAATCGAAATAAAAAATTGTCTTTATTTACAAATCAGCAACTCATTTCCATTCGATAGGAGGACCCTAAACACTATCTTTTAAGATTCAAACTGAACTTCAGATGACTGGATTGTTATACTGAACCAGAAGCCTGATATGTAAACTGTATCCAAATGCAATTAAGCTAGTTGATAAAACGAAGATAGTGGGTTTTATCAAGGCCATTTCATCATCTGTTAATTTAACATCGGCTTTAATATTGGTAATTATAAAGCATATATTATTAGCAATTAAATTTTGTCGAATGGTGGTATAAGTCATTTTGCAATGACTTATTTCTTCTGAACCAAGTGGTTTAGTGTACACGCAAAATCAAATGGGTTCCAATACCGTTCCTTGCATAACGCCATAGGTAACAGAAACTCTGTCAGAGAAATAAGTTTTTACCATCACCGTCTGTATTCTACCAGTAAGTTCAGATGAAAACGAATTTAATGCAAGGCCACTGATTTCATATTCGGATTCGAGTCTGCTGTGTAATTTACTGTGATCCAGCGTATCAAAGGCAACTGAAAATGAAATGAAATGGGGTTTAACTTCCTACTGTTCTGATCCGACTGGGCTAATGAAGACGGGCATAAGACATACAGACAGCGTCGCTACGGCCTACTCTTATATCGAATTCCAACTGCCAGTGGATCTTTTAAGTGCACGTCTATGTATACACGTGACCTAGGTTTTTTGTCCCATCCAAACGACTAGACAGCTGTCTTTGTTAGGCCCTCCGTCCTGCACCACTAACAAGGGGAAACCACGTCGGAAAATCCCAATGAACCTTCTCGGTCGATGCAGGGACGGAACACGCGACATCCAGGATAGTGAGCAAGCGTCTTACCCACTTAGCCATCGTGGCTGAAAGGTCAAATATTTCAAGCATACCGATAGAACCTTCATATCTACGTTCCTTCTGATAGAGTTGAAAATAGTTCCATAGTCACGTTTGAACTTTAGGCAGAAGAACTTTATCAGGTGCCTAATAGTGGAATTTCCCCTTCCGTGTTTCAAATTCTACCAATTGTTATATTGGACCTGAATGGGTTGTTTCTTTGTCCGCCTACATGTATGTGGGAATCGGAATTGAAAGGGTTCTTCTTGGCCCATGTGGTGGGGTTGGTTTTTTTTTTAGTTTTTTTTTGAGTTCGGTGAGGTTCGTCCTCATCGGTGTTGCAGAACGGCGGGCCTGGCAAGGAACAATGTCTATTCGTCTGATGTACGTAAAAGAACTCTTGACAATTGGAATTCTAAATGTTCATGATACCACACTATATCGAATATGCCGATCTTTATTAGTCCATTTGGTGCAGAAAAGTAGGGCGTTAAACCCCATTTCATTTCATTTATTTCCTCGTTCCGGGGTTCGATTCGGAAACATTCTAATCTGAACCTAGACGTTAATAAGGTTTGTAATAATGAAGAAATGACGCAGCTCATCCATTAAACCCTAACTCAAAATCATTCATCTTGTGGCTAAAACCCGAATGTGTTATTAGGCTTTATGAATGGACTACTTTATATATATTTATTTGACCGACTGACCGCTAAAATTTGATATACTTTAATATCCGATTTGCATGTCTATGAAATACCTCTTCTGATTATACACAATGGTTGATGGACATTGAACTGTTTACTATCTTTACTATAACACGTCTAAACTAGTAAGATACGTATAGTAGATAATCATGATTGTATCATTGATATTATATCAATCAGTGATAACAATCTTAAGATGCATATGTCAGAATTGGATACAGAGAGAGACAGAGACAGAGAGACAGAGAGAGGGGGGGGGGGTAACGTCCACTCGACACAAACTAAGTCATTTCGGGACTAACATATGGTTCTAATATTATTTCAGTAATTTGCTTGAGCGTAGGGGGTCTTTAGCAGTGGGATGATTTGCTGACTCAAAGTAGGTCTTCTGAGTGCACTGCATATCCTATTAAAACGGACAATCTTAGATTTTATGGTGCCATGCAAAGAATTAAGGTAGCCTATGTTTTGGGTTGCTACTTTTAAAAAGCGGTAGTATCAAGGAAATCTATATGCTGTTATGACTTACATTTGCGGTTAATTTGACTGATGTATGATCAATTTTATAACAGAATGTCTTAGATGATCGGGTCTACAGAGCTTTGAAATAGTAATTACTCCCCTTGGATATTATATCCAATCAAGTTATCTCCTTTCAATGTTTACAACAAGATGGCGGCAAATTTTGGGAATTGGCAAGAAGCATTAGATAATTTAGTGAAAGAGACTGTCGTGTCAGAAAATTGGAAGGAATTTGAACTTTTGAAGAATGACAACAGCAGGATACAATATATTCTGTCAAATAAATCATTAATGTAAGCAAGACAAAATGCAGAAAATGTATTTCTAACGAAAAGTCTAAAAATTTTATTTTTTATTTTTTTATTTTTTAATTTTCTTGGGTTGTACGTTTTACCCAAATCTACAAAAATCACACTGTTACTATAATTTCAACTCGTATCACAATAATTTATATCCGTATTTGATAATATACCATTCTTTATGCCAAATAGTTATTTTCAATTGAAAATAGTAGCGTTTATCTTACTCAGTTTACTTTATTTACTATTTTGCCATACGCTTCTGTTTAACATGCGCAGTTCTCTGATACCTGGACTTAGCAGTTTTTGACATTAACCCAAACCCCTAACCCAACAGTTCTATTCGTTCTTTGTCTAACATTGCTTCTTTTTCCGTTTCTTATAAAGGAACGAAATAGCCATACTTGAATTTCTATGGTAGAAACTGGAGAATTATTTTTAAAAGAAAATAAGATAATAAATGTAAATTGTAGAAAAGCATTTAGAATATTATTCTATTTTGGTCGAGGGCGCATTTCTGCGGATTTTGGTTCTTAATTTAAGTACTAAGACTCAGTGGTTTATGTTTTTCCCGTAAAATTGTGCTTCTGCACCGAACTTCAAAGACGAGTTGCCAAAATGGTGGAATATATCTGTACTTTCCGCCATTTTGAATCAGAAACGATGTACGGTAAAAAAGCGGAAGTAGATACTTTGCCGTATACAGTTAAATGTCCACTTCGTTTATCTTATGTGTCAAAAAAGCCCTTCAAAATCAAAATGTGATTTCCAAACAAGTTTGGAAGTTGTATTACATTTGTAACTAAGGGATGTGTAACTTGTGTATTACATGACGTCGTTTTCAAAATAAAAACGTTACGCCCTTAATTTAAATGACAAATGGTATATTATCAAATATAGATATATATTATTTTGGAATAAGTAGAAATAATGGTGGATTTGTGTGGGTTTGGTAAATTGTGCTACCGGTATTTATTATTACATTCACAGAAAAGACAGGCTTCAATAATAGTTATGTATTTGTTTGGTGTAGTCGCCAAGGCAGTGCGTCAGTTAAAGATGGGTTCCCAGAAAAGTATTTATCGGGTGGTTATTTCCAATAAAAGTATGGTAATTTTGGAAAGTAGAAATATCCAATCTTACTAGAAAAATACTGGATTCCCCGAAAAACACTCATGGAGCGTATATAGGACAAAAATTAAGTGTTCCCCTAATCGACAGCCCGACGATTAGGAATTTCTGCACGCGTGATGTCAAAGGTCACACGCGAACATTGAGCGCTTGATGTACAAGTTGATAAACTTTATGAAGAGTTTGACGTACAACACTTTCTGAGATAAAAATGACGGAAAAAGACGCGGGTAGTGGATAATCCGAGAATTTAATTAGGATTCGATATTTGTAATAAATAGTAAGCAATTAAAGACAACAATGTCTTATGTATGCAATGGATTCTCCTCTGACTTCCAAGAGAGGTAAGTCACGTGATGTAAACATGACCTGGTGATGTAATTCCTTCGCAATTACAATGTTTGAGAAGGATTTGAAGCAAAATTATGACAAATTAATTAGTTTGAATATGTTTTTAGTCCATATATACCATTAAATCACCCAGTTTTTACGCGGGAACCCATCTTTAAACTCCAAGATAGTTAGGATAAGAAACTTGATTAAGGAACAGGTGGGCAATTGGACGGGGTTGCTTTAATTAATTAATTATTTATTGTCTGAATTTATGAATGTTGATCACTTTGATATATATTACTCTCAGGGATGTATCTGTTTAACATTTCAGGAGTATTGAGTGGTTAAAAGTATATCTGGATAACAGTAAATTATTTCATCAGAAATGTTCTCACAAGGCACTTGAAAATAAAAACAAAGGGAACCAGTATTTCAAGAAAAAAGACTATAAAACAGCAATACAGTATTATACACAGGTACATGTACATACTTTTTACAGTATTACAAATACGGATATTATTATAAAATGTTCATTTATAAGCCAGGCTGCACCAATTTGAATTTTATTTTTCAGAGACTCATATTAAAGTTTTGCTTCACATTTCTTGGTGAAAACATTATTTAAATCCAAAAACACTTAATAGTTTCACATTTTTAAGTTTTGAAATTTTGGACAATAATTTTGTTCACACGACTCAAGTGGCTTTATTTTCTTAATAAGTTCCTGAAAAACTAAGTATTAATTTGGCTTGGTCTCAGTAGACAATCAAACATGAACCATCTTCATAACCTTGAATACATAACACAGTTTGGCTTAGACAATCTAAACAAAGACATTTCAATGATGTTATATGTATCATAATTAATACCTTCTTCTGTTAGTGTTTAACATCCGCTTCCACTGATGGTGATAGATCTCAGATAAGTTGTCTTATTATATTATCTTAGCGCACGCACAGGGGTCTTTCCAGTGGGAGGAAATCGGAAAACTCAGAGTAAACCCACGAAGTTGAGAAGGTGCGTCTATCTCCAAGCCACATACGCTCACACAAGGGATCGAAACTACAACCGCAAGCCAGAGGTGACCTGTCAGCTAGAGCTTGTAGCGCAACACTCGAGACCAATAGGTCATTCCCCCCGCCCCCAAAAAATAAATACCTCCAATCATTGTGATGTTTATATAAGTATGGACAGAAGCAGGGTTGTCTGCCCAACCTTGTGAATTTTCTAAGGACTGACCCCTACCAAAAAAATTACAGTACGTCACATTATATGTGTATGTTAGTCCTGAAATGATCTATTTTGTGTCTAGTTGACGTTAAATCCTAATCTACATGTAGTTCTTTATATATATCAGCGGAAAATGTGAGAGAGAGATAGAGAGAGAGAGAAATGGAGCTTAACTTCCACTCGACACAAACTAGGTCATTTTGGGACTAACATATAGCTTAATTTTATTTCAATAATTCGCTTGCGCATAGGGGTCTTTAGCAGTGGGAGGAAACTGGAGGATCCGGAGAAAACCCACGAGGTTGGACAGGCAACCCTACTCCTTGTCACGTACAACTGGGGATTCAAAACCATGCCAGTCGACTCAATGACAGACTTTATGATACAGCGCGTGCACGCTAACCATTCAGCCATCCATGCAATGCAATTTGTTTCACTTTAGTTGACTAGTGTTCACTGATTGCTATTAAACATAAATATTAATTTCTATTACAATTTTATTATTTTAAGAGTATCATCCATGCCCCTGTAGAAGAAGGTCATGACTTAGCTTTAGCTTATGGAAACAGATCAGCAGCTTTGTATCATCTTCAGTATTTTCAGGTATGAATGAGTGTTAAAATTGCTTTCCTTCTATTAGTGTGTGGGTGAGATCAATTTAAATTTAATACAAATATTTTATGCAGAGAAGTTCACGGTTTGAAATGATGGTATGCTAAAATCAAATGACATCACATGTGTATTTTATGTTTATTTATTTGGTTATTAGGAATGTTTAAGTGATATACAATTTGCTATGGATGCTGGTTTTCCTGAAGAAACCATCTATAAATTATACCAACGAAGATCCCAGTGTTATTATGGTTTGAAGAAATTCGACATGGCCGAGTCAGGTAACGAAAGTATATTTGTTTTTGCTTTATATGGTATGTTATTGTTTGGTAACCATAGTTACTGGATGAATATGGTGCAAGCTAGTTTCAATCCCAATGTTGGCTGAAAAAATTCCATGGGATTTTCGGGTCAGATTTCCACGTGTCATTACTGCAGGATTTGGGTCTGCCGTGGAAAAGCATTCAGTCATTTTGATTAGATTGGAAACTGATATCCGGTTTAATATCATTAGCAGCATTTTAAACATCCCCTGGCAGTTTGAAATTGAAAAATCTGGAACGTAGTACTGCTATCCAGGTAAAATTTCCCCAAAATAACATTGCGTAAACTAGTATTCATTGGCTCGGATGGTAGTGAATAGTAGGATAACCTTTTGCGTAGTTAGTTGTTTGGGGGGAGCCATATTGGCTCGATCCCAGTGTTGGCGGAGAAAGTTCATCAGGATTTTCCGATGTGTTTTCCCCTTATCAGTGGTGCAGGACAATCAAAGCTGTCTAGTCCTTCGGATGGTGTGAAAAACCAAGTTTCTGTGTCACACTGGCGTGCACGTAAAAGATCCCTTGGCAGTTGGAATTCGATATAAGAGTATGCTGTGGCGCCACAGTCTGGGTAAAATTTCCCTCATAGCACACTATAAGGTGTATACCCGCCTTCATTAGCCCAGTCAGAGCAGAACAGTAGGAAATTAAACCCCATTTCATATACATGTAGTTGTTTGGGCAGGATAAGACAGAGGTCCAACCCATTACTTTAGATAAAAAGAACTTTATGTAAGTCTGATGTGTTGTTTATTAATAGAATTGTTGAAAGCAAGAGAATATTTAGACAATCAGAAGACTTTAATAGTTGATAAAAAGTATGGTGAGTAAGCACTTTGTCTTTCTCACCTATTTTATATTTGTATATTATGAAACATTTGTTTGATATCTGTGTAATGTCTAAAAGGGAAAAGTGCTTTTATTGAAGATTACCAGCCAAGCAGTGAAAAACAAGTGACTAGGCTACTAGATTTAGCAGTTAGGTCAATAAACATTGCTGTCAATTATGCCAGATTTTCCTTTTCTTATAAGAATTAAATAGAATCTTGATGACCTCTGATGTTGCCCTGTTCAGCCCATACTTAGAGACGGGAAGTAACTCTTGTATACAAGTAATTATGTTGTTCTATTTCTTTACTTTCAGGTAATTTATTAAAAGAAATGAAAGAACTAGAATTAAATATAGTTGAACAGTAGGTATTAATTATATTTATTTCAACAGATTTGTATCCATTGTTTTCTTTAGACTGATCCTGGCCTTTTCTGAAGTTTAAGAAGAACATTAGTTTTAAACACAATTCATCAAAGCTGAGGATCATGACCAAGGTTTAAGACTACAGTGCTTGTAAGAAAGGCTTATGAGAGAGAGAGAAATGGGGTTTAATGTCCACTCGACATAAAATAGGTCATTTCGGGACTAACATGGTTCTATTTTATTTCAATAATTCACTTGTGCATAAGGGTCCTTAGCAGTGGGAGGAAACCAGAGGACCTAGAGAAAACCGACGAGGTTGGACAGTTGACCAAATGACAGACCTTATGATACAAAGCACATGCTCTAACCATTCGGCCATCCAACCCCCATTTACCATTTGATTTAGCTAGTTGAAATCACTTTATTTTTCACATTTCTTTGAAATCCGGGACTTCCCTTTAATTAGGCTTCAGACTGCAAAGGCTGTTGGTAAATCTAATCTGCTTAAAACACAGATCCTATTTCGTTTCGTTTTTTATTGTTGAAAATTTCATTTTACTTGTCTTTACTACACTAGGACTTGGAAGAGTTGATATATAACTTGCATTCTGGTTGATGTGAGAGATTAGCCAATAAAATGGTCTATTGCAGCGAGTTCTTGGCGCGCCGATGCACGGAATTGTGGGTATCCCACTAGAAACATCAACACTGATTGGTTAATCAAATGTCTGATGTCATAGGGTCAAAATCCGCTCGTATGACACCTGACGCGAGCTACCACAACAACGGGTCAGATCTTCATGTAGTGGAGGCCATCGAAAGTATAAAAAAACGAAACGAAGTATAGATCTGTATTATAATCAGATTGAGATAAGTCTGGCACTGGCAAACTTACAACTTACACCTTAACCGTAACCATTTGTAGGGTGACCCGTGCACTCTACAGAAAGTTGTTCTCAACACGGCTAATGTGCACGCTTCAGTGGTTGTGTCTCAAACTGTATGAGACTATAAATAGCCATGGCATGTTCAATTCTCTAGAAATCTATCAACTATTACAGCCGTAAAAAATCTATTGTTGACGATTTTGAATAGCAGTAAAATTTAGCTTCTTGGTTATTACAGCAGCTTTAGAAATTACGTTTTTTTTATTTTTTATATTGCTTTATCATTAACTGTACCGTTAAGAGCGGCATCCTTTGGTTTAGTACAAATAATATCTCTAATTCACTTTCGTTAGCAGGAACATGATACTAGCAGTAGTTTCATTTTACTTTTACAAGTTTCTTAAAACAATTGTTGAGTTGGCTAACGTGCGTATTTCTAAATTCAATTTCTTATTCCAGCTTTCTGTTATGTTTCGTAAAAAGGTAATCTTGATTATCCCGACCTGTCAATCAGACGTAGAATGGGCGGTAGACTGGTTAAGCGAGACTAATTTCAAAACTATAATTGTGTGAAACTGATTTAAGGCTTGATATATATATAAATATTGTGGCGTAATTGTCAAGATATTTAGAGATATTTATTTATGGTAGGTCACCCTATCAATTGCCCATTTTACAGTCTTACCCGAGCATGTACAGTCCTTGCTCTTGAGGAAAGCAGATTTTATATTTTAATTTTTTGTTTTTAGAAAGAAAGTAAAGATAGAAACACCAGTAGATATTAAATGTATAAATGTAGCATGTGTGAGTTATGGTAATAGTGATGTTATAACACAGGCTTCTCGTGCTCTTAATATTAAATATAACACAGAACAAGGCCGTTATTTAGTGGTAAGTAAATTATATAACACAGGATTCTAGTGCTGTTATCAAATATAAGACAAAACAAGGCGTTATCTAGTGGTAAGTAAATTACATATATATAACACAGGCTTCTAGTGCTCTTAATATTGAATATAACACAGAACAAGGCCGTTATTTAGTGGTAAGTAAATTATATAACACAGGCTTCTAGTGCTGTTATCAAATATGAGATAGAACAAGGCCGTTATCTAGTGGTAAGTAAATTATTTTATAACACAGGCTTCTAGGGTTATGGTGATAAGTAACTCATGTTTGTAATAATAATAATGATAATTATGTTTGTTACCTGTATAATTTAGAACCTCATAAAGCCATGGAAGATTGGTTTATGTCGTTCATTTTGTTGTCTTTCATTGTCTTTGATTATCCGCTAGAGCTATCTTAATAGTCATTCTGATCAAAAAATGCATACATCAACCCATAGCAAGATGATCGCCTTCCCTTTTATTGTGACTATGATATCAGCTACTCAAATTCATAGTTGAAATATCAACAACACCATACTGGAATTTACTTACACCCCACCCTCCAGCAAACTAAAATGTTTTCAGACTCCGACTTTTATTATAGTATACTAAATTAGTATACAAGTTATTCTACTCAATAAATGATAAAGTATTTTCAGTTGTTTATGATATTTTATAGGCTAATGATGATATAAAAGCTGGTGATACTCTGATAGTAGAGACACCGTATTCATCAGTTTTACTACCAGATCATTACACAACACATTGTCATCATTGTTATAAACAATTAACTCTAACAGTTATTGGGTGAGTTTATTTATATAAACACATTGTCATCAAAATTAAAACACTTATCTGGATGTACTACTTCTGAATTTTATTAACATGTTACATTTCAATACACACACAGGTATCATTATCAAGCATATAATGATTTTTATTTGCTTGATAATGATACCTGTATGTGTATTGAAACGTAACATGGTAATAAAATTTAGAAGTAGTACATTCGGATAAGTGTTTTAATTTTAGTGAAATCTATTTCTATATGTCTTAAAAGGATTATTGTAATCATTGTTATGAACTATTATCTCTTAACAGTTATTGGGGGGGTTTGATGGCTGAATGGTTAGCGCATGCACGCTGTATCATGAAGTCTGTCATTGAGTCAACTGGCGTGGTTTCGATTCCCCAGTTGTACGTGACAAGGAGTAGTGTCGCCTGTCCAACCTCGTGGGTTTTCTCCAGGTCCTCCGGTTTCCTCCCACTGCTAAAGACCCCTACGTGCAAGCGAATTATGGAAATAAAATTGAACAATGTTAGTCCCGAAATGACCTAGTTTGTGTTGAGTGGTTAAACCCCATCTCTCTCTCTCTCTCTCTCTCTCTCTCTCTCTCTCTTAACTCTTCTTGGGTGAGTCTATTTATATAAACACTCTGTCATTGTTATAAAAAATTAACTCTTAACAGTTATTGGGTGAATCTATTCATATACATATATGTCCCAAATGCAGCCTGTTTGATAAGATTTAACTCTCTCAACTGCGCTAAATTTATGTCTAGCCTAGACAAAACAAGTATTTAATTACTATTCCATCTTCCCAGACAATAAACTGATATTTGGAAAGCAGCAGGTGTAATTGATAGAATACTGAAACTCTTATACTTCCACTGAAACCATGGTGCTAATATATTTCAATCAGTTATTACAAAGTTATGGCAGAGATATGTAGATGCGCTCGGTCAGTCAATCCATCTTTCCGCCCAAGTTTGTTTCCAGAGCATATCTTATAAACCATTCCATGATAGTTGATGAAATTTTGTCAACTCATTATAATAGTCATGCCCTGTTGCTAATTAAACATTTCCCGGATTTAATAGTTTTTTGCTTGCATGGAAACAAATTTAACTTAGTTTTTGGAATAGAAGGTTGTGTGTTGTTTATTGTGGTATAACAGGTTGTGTGATGTTTATTATGGTATACACGGTTGTGTGAAGTGTATTATGGTATACAAGGTTGTGTGGTGGTTATTATGGTATAAAAGGTTGTGTGGTGTTATGGTATACACGGTTGTGTGGGAATCACGATGGTTAAGTGGGTAAGACGCTGGCTCGCTAGCCTGGAGGTCGGATGTTTGATCCCTGCATTGGCCGAAAAAATTCATCCAGATTTTCCGGCGTGGTTTCCCCTTGTCAGTGATGCAGGACGGAGGGCCTGACAAGGACGGCTGTCTAGTCGTTCGGATGGGACAAAAAACCGAGGTCCCATGTACACATTGGCATGCACGTAAAAGATCCCTTGGCAGGTTGAATTTGATATAAGAGTAGGGCGTAGTGTCGCTGCCCGGGCAAAATTTCCCTCATAGCACACTGTATGGCGTATGCCTGTCTTCATTAGCCCAGTTTAGGAGCAGAACAGTAGGACATTAAACCCCATTTCATTTCATTTCATACACAGTTGTGTGGTGTTTATTATGGTATACACGGTTGTGTGGTGTGTGTGTGTATTACGGTATACACGGTTGTGTGATGTGTATTATAGTATTAAGGTTGTTTGGTGGTTATTCTGGTATATAAGATTGTGTGGTGTTTATTATGGTATACTAGGTTATGTGATGTTGATGGCTGAGTCTTGCCTTTTTTGATATTTATAGATGTAGAAGATGTACAGTTGTAAGATATTGTGGTAACCAATGTCAACAAGAATCATGGACACAGTATCATCATATAGAATGTTCTTATATAGATTTACTTCATTCTGTAAGTTTATTATTTCCATTTCAATCAATGTCTTCAAGTACAGTTAATTCCCTTCGACAATTTTTATGGATAATCAATCACTTAGTTTACTTTTTGCCGTGCACGAGTTGTATCTGTCTGTAAATAGTTGAAAGAGAGAGAGAGAGAAAAATGAGGTTAAACATTCACTCGACACAAACAAGGTCATTTTGGGACAAACATATGGTTCAATTTATTTCATTAATTTGCTTCCACGTAGGGCCTGGATATAATGTGTACTAATTATGTTGATATTTTGGGTATAATCAGAAATTCTACAACAATTACAATTTTTAAGAAAAATATTAAATCTCATTTATTTAAAGAAGCTTTTAATTTATAACTAAAGTATTTTTTGAAGAATGTATATTTTAATCCAGATCGTGATATTTAAATACTCTTATTTTGTTATCAATGGCTTTCTTATATTATATTATTTACAGTTTTATGTATAAGTTTATTAAATTTTATGTTAGTTTATTTTATTTCTGAATTATTGTATTGTATTTTGTTTGTTTTATATTGTTTTTACTACTTACTTTGTAAAGCGCATTTGAGCACTATGTGAATTGTGCGCTATATAAATGTTCTTAATAATAATAATGATATTCTGGGTGTAATGTGTATCAGATTACATTAATATTCTGGGTATAATGTGTACTAGATTATATTGATAATTTAGGGATAATGTGTATTAGATTATTTTTTTTTTTTTCTAGGTTGGTATAGCTCATCTTAGTTTAAGAACAATATTGACAGCAGGATTACAGTTTTTAAATGGTTAAGTATAAATATTCTCATCATTTTCAATGAAATTTTTATATAACTTGCTTTACAAAGTCGTTATGTGATGTTTTAGCCTTGGCTGCGGCAGTGATCTTGTACAACAAACTTTTGTAGCTGCATTTAATTTACCTTGTACTATCCAATGGTTTAACTGGAATACAGGTATTTGTCTTGTTTAAGGACACAAGTATTCTATTGCCAACAAGAATGATGATAGAAAATGCATCAAAGTAGAATATTTGGAGCCAACGTCTTACCCGCTTAGCCACTGTGGTTCCCTCGGTGAGTATGGTACTTGCTCACTAACCAGAAGGCCTCAAGTTTGATTCCATTGTTGGTGGCAAATAGTTTCTCTTGATTATCCATGGAATGAATTAGAACACCTTCACCACTTTATAATTTGAATGATAGAATGGATAATTAAGACTTTGTTTATAATCATAACAATTGTACTTGACAATCAAGACTATCTTGTTAAAACTTTGAACATTCACAACTTCACCCAGAATAATTAATTGACTGAAATTTTTTAAAAATTCATATCTCATTATCTACATGTATATTTGAACTATTATGTCAAGAACAGCCAGCTCTTTATCTAAATCTTACATAATGTACCTTTAATATGATTTGGTTTATTGTAAAATATGTAATATTTTCTTCTACAGGATTTATAAAAGATAATAAGGATATATGTGCCAATGATATACCAGGATTAAATGAAGAGAAACAATATGGAAGAGATTATTCAACAGTTTATAATCTATTAACACATTCTGAAGATATGACATCATTAGATTTATACCAGTATTCATTAGTAAGATATCTCTGAGAAGGTTCATCGTAGTTTCCCGGGGTGATTTCCCCTTGTCAGTGGTGCAGGAAGGAAGGCCTGACAAGGACACAAGGTCCTGTGTACACTTTGGCGTGCATGTAAAAGATGTAAGAGTAGGCTGTAGCTCCGCTGTCCAGGCAAAATTTCCCTCAAAACACACTGTATGTCGTATGCCCATCTACATTAGCCCAGTTGTTAAACCCCATTTTATTTAGTAAGATATCTGCCGTCGAGTTTATGACCTTCCTGTTTATTGGCTTTCTTGTAGAATTGGACACTACCATTTAGATTTATATGGTGTCTAGTTTTTATACCATGTCTTTATGTTCCGGGAATCTATTAATAGTGCATGAAATAAGAATTTTTGTGATATTTTCAGTTATTCAAATTTTCTCCCTTTTTTTCCCCTCCTGCTGCTATCTTTAAGGGGGATCACGTGGCTAAGTGGGTAAGACGCTAGCTCGCTAGCCTGGAGGTCGGGTGTTCGATCCCTGCATTGGCCGAGAAAGTTCATCCAGATTTTCCGGCGCGGTTCTCCCTTGTCAGTGATGCAGGACGGAGGGGCTGACAAGGAAAGCTGTCTAGTCGTTCGGATGGGACGAAAAACCGAGGTCCCGTGTACATATTGGCGTGTACGTAAAAGATCCCTTGGCAGTTGGAATTCGAGTAAGCCGTAGTGCCGCTGTCCGGGCAAAATTTCCCTCATAGCACACTGTATGGCGTATGCCCGTCTTCATTAGCCCAGGTTAGGAGCAGAACAGTAGGACGTTAAACTCCATTTCATTTCATTTCATTTCATGCTATCTTTAAGTTATGTAACTATAAGGACCAAGGGGAAAAATTAATACAGATTTTATTTTTTACTTGCAGACAGCCACCCTCTTACTTGTAATTCTCGTCCATTCTAACTGGTTCCACAACGCTAAAGACACGAAAATAATGTCTAAACATCACAGTCACGATTCAGCTACCCATTCAAGTGAAAACAAAGCTGATGTGAACGTTGACAAGCTTCCGTCAAAGAGTAAAGATGACTCCCTAGATTTAAGTGAAAGTGCCTCAAATATTGATGACAAAAAGGCCCTTGACTTCACTTGTGGCACTGTTGCTAGAAGTAAAATGGATTCATCTTCAAAAAAACATAAACCAAGTGAACTAAAGACGTCTGCCAAATATGTAGACGCACTAGGTTCAGAGGACTCCGAGAGTGAAGGAATATGTAATAATATTTTAGGAAACAATCACGAAGATGATATTTCTTCCGTCAAAACCCGAGTATCTTTGTCCGAGATTGGCATTGATACAGACATGTTAAATATAGGTGGTTTGTTGTTACGTCATATTCAACAATTAGTATGTAACGCACACGCCATTACAGAACTCCAGGCCTCATTTGATTCGCTGTCATCTTCTACACTTGTGGATGAGATGAGTCAAGTACGAGTTGCCACGGCGATATACCCAACAGCTAGTTTGATGAACCATTCATGTGATCCTACTATAATATCAAGGTAGGTGGATTTAAAAATAACAAGCTTTTCCTTTTAATCTTTTCAGTAAGTGTTTCATTGGGTCTATTAGATAAACATTCTGTGGACACAGTAACCGGGGGTGGGGGTGGGGATCACGTGGCTAAGTGGGTAAGACGCTGGTTCGCTAGCCTGGAGGTCGGGTGTTCTATCCCTGCATTGGTCGAGAAAGTTCATCCAGATTTTCCGGCGGGGTTCCCCCTTGTCAGTGATGCAGGACGGAGGGCCTGACAAGGACAGCTGTCTAGTCGTTCGGATGGGACGAAAAACCGAGGTCCCATGTACACATTGGCGTGCACGTAAAAGATCCCTTGGCAGTTGGAATTCGAGTAAGCCGTAGTGCCGCTGTCCGGCGTGGTTTCCCCTTGTCAGTGATGCAGGACGGAGGGCCTGACAAGGACTTCTGTCTAGTCGTTCGGATGGGACGAAAAACCGAGGTCCCGTGTACACATTGGCATGCACGTAAAAGATCCCTTGACAGTTGGAATCAATATAAGAGTAGGTCGTAGTGCCGCTGTCCGGGCAAAATTTCCCTCATAGCACACTGTATGGCGTATGCCTGTCTTCATTAGCCCAGTTCAAAGCAGAACAGTCGAACGTTAAACCCCATTTCATTTCATTTCACAGTAACCGGGCCCCTTTCTATTATTAGAATACCCTAGAATATCAGTGAAGACAGTAAGATGGTCACCATATCGACCGATATCAAATTATCATTATTTTCTGTCCAGTCAATGGGTCATCACATGCTAATAAACTTTGTGGACTCAGTTACAAGGTCCCCATGATGTCAAATTGACACAGTATTCTTAGGACCAGAAATGAAAAGGTTTAACACAGCACCGATGACCTGAGAAAGGAGCTCTCCAATTACCAATAAGAATCATTTTGAAACTTGTTATTTCTGAATTAACTATTGAAGAGTTTTGTGCATGAAAGACTGAAATTTTAATTTGAATCTTTTCTAGTTTTCAAGGAGACTTGTTAGTTGTGAGAGCTGTGAAAAATGTTGAAAAAGGAGAGGAAATATTTAATTGTTATGGTGAGTATTGTCTGTTCTATTTTGTTAATAGATTAATGATGTAGAAAATGTTGGATTCCTCGTAAATTGTAAGTTTTAAACATCTACATCTGAGAAATCAATGGGCAGAGTTGTCCCAAATTTAAAAAATACTCTCGAATTTAAATAAAACTTTTTTACTGCTAGCAAAATGATCTTGTGTTCTAATCACTAATAATACCCCAATTGTCAAAATCTTTAAATAGGTCTTTCTTTGGGCCTGAAATTTTATATAAACTATTAATTAGGCATTTATTAACTTATCCAGACCATAATCAACTCTTGATGCTATCTTATGTGTCAGATTTTCACTGGATTTGAATCCAATTTGCTGATCAACGCTCATCAATGATTTAAACCAAAAATGGTTTAACATACCGACTTTAGTAATGATGATCTAGGCTAGGCCTAAATTTCAAATGCTAATATCTCGTTTCAGCAAATTCCCTTTACATTATCTAGTTAAGTATTATAGTGAAAACTGCCAGCTCTTTATCTATCTAATCTCCCATAATGCCCCTTTAAAATGGTGGATCATCATTTTACATTTTTCGGCTAAGTTTTCACAGATTAATCCAAGTTCATGTGTTATTCAATTGATCACTAAACATTTAATAAAATGAAATGAAATGAAATGAAATGGAGTTTAACGTCCTACTGTTCTGCTCCTAACCTGGGCTAATGAAGACGGGCATACGCCATACAGTGTGCTATGAGGGAAATTTTGCCCGGACAGCGGCACTACGGCCTACTCTTATATCGAATTCCAACTGCCAAGGGATCTTTTACGTGCACGCCAATGTGTACACGGGACCTCGGTTTTTCATCCCATCCGAACGACTAGACAGCTTTCCATGGCAGCCCCTCCGTCCTGCATCACTGACAAGGGAGAACCACGCCGGAAAATCTGGATGAACTTTCTCGGCCAATGCAGGGATCGAACACCCGACCTCCAGGCTAGCGAGCTAGCGTCTTACCCACTTAGCCACATGATCCCCAAACATTTAATAAAGAAAACAAAACCAAAAACCAAAATATCTACAGTAGATATCTCTCGGCTTGAATTTTCATTCCATCTGATTGAAAAGAGGCCATAGAAATACACAGCACATATAGGTGGCACTCTCTTATTTATATCATCTGCAGAGGGCGCTGTATATTGTGAAATGATCAGTTCATCATGCTTTTGTAAATACTGAATGGAATTGAACTTCATATTGACTACTTTTCCCTTTAGAAATAAAACTTTAACATTATTTTGGTTTGTAAGGGGTTCAGGGGGTTAGGGGGCTGATTGGTTTGATCAAAGAGCTCTCATTGAGTCAAGTGGGATAGTTTCGAGTTCGGTTGTCTATCAAACCTTGGCGGTTTTCTCTGCCCCCCCCCCCCCCCCCCCAGTTTCTTCCAACACCTTAAGACACCTATGCGCAAGCGAACTATTGAAATAAAATTATTTCGGTATTTACCTATTTTGTGTCAAGTGGACGTTAAACCCCATTTATTTCTCTGTCTTGTAAGGGGTTTAAAATCTCTGAAAAGACAGTCAGCAAACTGTAAGGTATGACTATTATATATTGTAGGTCCCCACTTTAGACGTATGATAAGATCTAGAAGACAAGAAGTATTAAAAACTCAGTATTTTTTTACTTGTTCATGTAAACCTTGTACAGACGGTAAAAAGGATGATGTACAATTTGATGTAAGCTTTATTTAAATTACTTTAATTTTATGTAAGATATATTTAAATTACTTTAATTTTATGTAAGATATATTTAAATTACTTTAATTTTATGTAAGATATATTTAAATTACTTTTATGTAAGATATATTTAAATTACTTTAATTTTATGTAAGCTTTATTTAAATTACTTTAATTTTATGTAAGATATATTTAAATTACTTTAATTTTATGTAAGATATATTTAAATTACTTTAATTTTATGTAAGATATATTTAAATTACTTTAATTTTATGTAAGATATATTTAAATTACTTTAATTTTATGTAAGATATATTTAAATTACTTTAATTTTATGTAAGATATATTTAAATTACTTTAATTTTATGTAAGATATATTTAAATTACTTTAATTTTATGTAAGCTTTATTTAAATTACTTTAATTTTATGTAAGATATATTTAAATTACTTTAATTTTATGTAAGCTTTATTTAAATTACTTTAATTTTATGTAAGATATATTTAAATTACTTTAATTTTATGTAAGCTTTATTTAAATTACTTTAATTTTATGTAAGCTTTATTTAAATTACTTTAATTTTATGTAAGCTTTATTTAAATTACTTTAATTTTATGTAAGCTTTATTTAAATTACTTTAATTTTATGTAAGATATATTTAAATTACTTTAATTTTATGTAAGCTTTATTTAAATTACTTTAATTTTATGTAAGATATATTTAAATTACTATAAAGATACATTATGTAAGAGCTAAATCTGCCTATCGCAGGTCTTTATTTTGGCTTCAAATTTTTTGTAAATTATTATTTAGACATTAAATGGATTTTAACACCCGCAAGATTTGAAATTTAACAATAAAATACAGTTGGTTTGGGGGTATTCAGATCCTATTTCAGATATTTATAAACTATCTGACCAATTTCCCCTTTAACCAGACTGGTGTTTGTCAGTTATTAAATTAATATAATGATACAGTCAAATCACTTTAAATTATTTAGCAATTTGTGGTGATTTGGTCTTTAATTCATGTATGGTTCGTTGAGTAGGGCACTGGTTTGATCGCGATGTTGACTGAAAAATCCTGGTTTCTCTATGTCATTGATGCATGACAGAGGGTTTAAGAAGGAGAAATACTGCAATTCGATTGGCTGACCAGTAAAATCAATTTGCATATATCCAATTTGCATATTGGTCAGCCAATCGAATTGCAGTATTTCTTAAAATTTCGATTGTATCTTAGTTTAAGTTTTCGTGAATAAGGGACCAAAAGATCCCCTGACACTTGGAAATCAAAATAAGAGAGAGAGAAATAGGGTTTAACATCCACTTGACACAAACTAGTTCATTTCGGGACTAACATATGGTTCAGTTTTATTTCAATAATATGCTTGCATGTAGGGGTCTTTAGCAGTTGGAGGAAACCGGAGGACCCGGAGAAAACCCACAAAGTTGGACAGGCGACCCTACTCCTTGTCACGTACAACCGGGAAATCGAAACCCCGCCAGTTGACGCAATGACAGACCGTACGATACAGCGCGCACATGCTAACCATTCGGCCATCCAACCCCCGGAAATCAAAATAAGAGTTCAGCATAGTGCTGTTTGGGCAAAATGTCAGTCAAAGCATACTGCATGGCGATCAGTGCAGAAATGTAAAATGTTGAACCCCATTTCATTTGAATTTATTAACTGAAACCATTACTGACATGTGCCGGATTAATTTTTAGTATGCCGCCACAGGATTGTGATTGACAATCAACATAATGGTCATTCCAGGACAAATATGATTGGAATTTTAAGATTTTTTTCTGACACATATAAAAAATCAGCGCCATAATCAACTTTTAATCACTCCTTTCATTTTTTTTTATCACAACTGATGACTATGGCAACAGAAAGCATGAGTCCAGATGCTACCCATTTATATGTATATGTGTATGTTTTAGGCTATGGTATTCAGTAAATGTATATATCTGTATGTTTTAGGCTATGGTATATGGTAAATGTATATATCTGTATGTTTTAGGCTATGGTATGTGGTAAATGTAAAGGTTGTATTGATACCCAGGTAGATGTACCATGTTGTATTGACTGTGGAGAGAAAGAAAGTATCCATGATAGAAAGATGAGGGAAGAAATAAACACTCTTTATCAACTAGCTATGACATCAATTGATCATTCAGATTTAAAAGGTAAGAGCACTTCTATTTTTAACAATCTGATTAAAGCACAGATCCTATTTCGTTTCATTTTTTATAGTTCAAACTTTGGTTTTACTTATCCTTAATACACTAGGATTTGGAAAAGAGAGACAGAGATCTTGGTAACCAAATCGCCAACCCCAGTAATCACGCCAAGTTGTCAAACCTCTGTACAAACCCAGTAAGCGAGCTACCAATCCCGGTAACAAATTCGCAAACCCCGCCAAGAGTCCAACCCCGGTAACCCCACCTGGGTTTCAAAATAGTATAAATAAAAACGACCGCCACGTGCGTCCAATCAGTCTGAAGAGTTCAATATGAACGAAACTAGTCACTGACACTCTGGATAACTAGGTCTTCATAGCCACTCTTATATTATCTAACTCCCTGTCTACAATTAGTTGTGGCTAATTTTAACGCATGCACGTTAGATCAAAAGTTTTGTCATATAGACAAGTGGCGTGGTTTTGTGGTTTTCAAAATCTCACTTGTACGTTTCCTCCCACTGCTAATTATTGAAATAAAATTGCTCTCTCTTTCTCTCGCTTGTAAGATAGATTTAACTAAAAGTTTAATTTTTTTTATATTATTAAAGTATTTATTAAATCTTATATTTGGTATTTCAGGTGCTATGGAAAGTTTAAAGCCATGTTTAGAGTTGTGTTATAAATATTTACATAAAAATAATCGATTAAGAGCATCAGTAGAAGATAGTTTAGCCAGGTGTTATGCAATGTCAGGTAGGAGAGATTACTTTATAAAAAATGAAATGTTGGTTTAAGGTCGTACATTTCTGCTCTAATACTGTTATATGCCATACAGTGTGCTATGAAGGAAAGTTTGCCCAGACAGCGGTGCTACGGCCTACTCTTAAAATCGAATTCCAACTGTCAAGTGATCTTTTACGTGCATGCCAATGTGTACACGGGATCTCTGTTTTTTGTCCCATCCGAACGACTAGACAGTTGTCCTTTTCAGGCCTTCCGTCCTGCATCACTGGCAAAGGGGAATCACGGCGGAAAATCTGGATGGACTTTCTCGGCCAATGCAGAGATCGAACACCCGACCTCCAGGCTGGCGAGCCGGCATCTTACCCACTTAGCAATCGTGATCCCCACAATAAAAGGAATAGGGATATGTTTAATTGACTGATATACGTGTATAGAAAACAAAAACATTTTTCGCCCTTGTATACCAGAAATTAAGTCAAATTGGTTTCCATGGAAACACAACAATTATTAAAACCAGGAATTTTGTATTTAGCAAAAGGCACAATTACTATATATAATAAGTTGATCTGTTTACAAAGTTTCATAAAGATAAACTTGTATACCACATTAGTTTCCAGTAGGACGTTAAACCCCATTTCTCTTCATTTCCTTTTATTGTAATTTCTCTTTATTTTAGGGGATTATAAAATGGCATTAAAACATTTAGAAAATAGTATCAAAGTAACAGAGTTATTATATGGTAATGAAAGTATCGAATTAGCTTATGAACTACAAAAAATGGCAGATATCCTTTTTAATGTCAAGAAACCAGAAAAATGTCTACAAATTGTTAACAGAGCTCAGAAAATATTTCTTATTCATTTTGGTGAAAATCATGAAACTGTTAAAGAATTGAATGAAATGAAAGTATGTTTGTTGGAGTTTGTTAATAATTCTAAACATTGAATGTGTTTATTGTTAATTCTAAACATTGAATGTGTTTATTGTTAATTCTAAACATTGAATGTGTTTATTGTCAATTCTAAACATTGAATGTGTTTATTGTTAATTCTAAACATTGAATGTGTTTATTGTTAATGCTAAACAAAACCTTGAATGTGTTTATTTTTTTTTTTATATTTTAAAATAAATTGTTGTTTTATAGTTATATTAAAAGAACTGATAAATTTCAGTTGCATGTCAGAGGCTTCATTAAGGCCGCTGTCGGATTGGAGTGGCATCGTTACTGTGCTGGTGTGACCGCATGGCGACCAGAAAATGCATAAGGTTGACGGTAACTGTGAACACAACACAAGAAAATGTCAAAAAAAATTACAAACTTGAAAAAAGTCGCATTCTCACAGCTTTCCAAGTCAAATCACAGAACCTTGGCATTTGTTTTGAACATGCTCAAAACAAACGTCAGCGACCGTGGAGACCACAGCACGATATCTGGCGTTTCCACCACACTTTTACCACGCTTATGACGATCTTGACATGCACTGGGACCATTTTCTGTCACCGTACCAGCGCAGGAAGGATGCCACCCTGGTCTGACGGGCGTATAAAGATGCATTATATAAGATTTCAATAAAGAGTTGGACGTTCTTGCTATAATAGTTCAAAAGTAGACAATGAAAATGAAGATGCAATAGGCAGATTTAGTTCTTACCTAATGCATCTTTAAAATAAATTGTCATGTTTTGTATTTATATTAAAAGACAAAATAAATGAAGTGATAGTCAGTGAACTCCTTAAAGTTTCATCTAGTTTATATATTTGGAAATGGAAGTAGTGTGTCCTACCCCCACCTCACCCCATAAAAAATGGAGCTAAAGATGTAATATAAAATCAAGCTTGTGGACACTCTTGAGAGAGAGAAAGAGAAATGGGGTTTAATGTCCACTCGACACAAACTAGGTCATTTCGGGACTAACATGCGGTTCAATTTTATTTCAATAATTTGCTTGTGCGTAGGGGTCTTTAGCAGTGGGAGGAAACCGGAGAACCCGGAGAAAACCCACGAGATTGGACAGGCGACCAAACTCCTTCTCACGTTCAACCGGGGATTCAAAACTACGCCAATTGACTCAATGACAGGCCGTATGATACAGCACGCATGTGCTAATCATTCGGCCATTTGGCCATCCAACCCCCATGTAGACACTCTTGAATAAGGTGGTTACTGACTAACCCATTTATTCTGGTTTATAGATTTTGGGATGGGTGTAAAAAATATTTTGGTGGGGGGGAGAATGGGGACTTTTGTAATGCTTATTTTGTTATGTCCCAGGGTTCAAATCCCAGGGAAAAACCTTCTGATTCAAACTTGATGCCTCATTGTCTGGGATTGCCGTGAGTTCAGTTGCTCAGATATGACAAACACTGCGGTCCTACAGATAAGTAATGGAAACGCAAAATTCTCCCCTGGCATTTTGTTTTTTTTATAAACAATATTTTTATTCAGGTTTTCTGAAAGGGATTGGGGAACAGGCTTAGCCTATATAAAACCCCTCTCCTATATTAATGCAAATGGGTGTATAAACATAGTTAAAATGGCAGTAACATAAATATTATAAATATAATGAAATGGATGAAAATGTACAGTATATATAGTAGTTAATAATTATATAAGCATGTAAGATTTTTTTAATAATAAGCAACATTAGAGAGACAAGCCAAAATTATACATAAAATAGATGATAAAATACTAAATACTGGCATTGCCCACCGAACTATACAAATAAGAAATGCTACATGTTACAGAATAACTTAATAATTATGTCCAAATCCCATTCCTTTACAAAACGATCTCTAATTTTAATTATACTAGTTAAGAAGAGTAAAAAATTTAAATCAATTACAAGGCAAAATTTTTGTTACCAAGGAAATAAAAAAATTGTAATAAAAAAAACAAAAAAAATTATTAGCCTAACATCGAAATTTATAAAGATAAATAAACATAAAAATACTTTGACTAAAATAAATTAAACTAGTTGCACTATAACCTGAGTATGTTTTAATCTTGTGTATTTACCGCTTATTTCATTCACATTAATTTAATATCAAATATATGTTTAAAAAATCGTAAAAAATCATTTAAAATCACCCAATATCATCTAATTGATTACAGATGGCACTGGAACGCATTCTGGCAGACGATTTTAGTGGCAATTTTGAATTTTTTTATTTTGTCTTAAATATTTGATATCAGAAGGCCATCGTTGCACGGCAAAATAACAACATTAATATTGATTTAAATTGACCAATAAGTCGTGTTTGCAATGTCAAAGACTGTGGATGATATTGTGTGAGAGACTGGCCTCATTTAAAGTTCGTGCATGCTGTATCGTAAGGTCTGTCATTGAGTCAACTGTGGTTTCGACTCTCCGGTTGTACGTGACCAGGAGTAGGGTCGCCTGTCCAACCTTGTGGGTTTTCTCCAGGTCCTCCGGTTTCCTCCCACTGCTAAAGACCCGTACGCGCAAGCAAATTATTGAAATAAAATAGAAACATATGTTAAACCCCATTTCTCTCTCTCTCTTTCCTTTGAAGTTGATGGCTGGAATTTTATCGAAACAAGTTATTATTGGCGGTAATTATTTAAATGTAAATTTATGGAAGTCAGTCAATTCAAGATGTCTTTTTCCACAAAACATCAATAGGCCAGTGTCTATAGTCCTCTAATCGTAAAAGGGTTTCCTCGCTGATTAATGGGGTGTAGGGTTTATAGTCTCGGACCGTCATGAATTCTATTATACCCTGCCCGAACTGACCCAATAACTTCTTATGCCAAAACCACTCCATTAAAATATACGGTACATCAACGGTATCGAGAAAATGGATTCCGGCTTCTAATACTTGTAATTCATGTTCTTCTACATCTATTTTCAAAAAGGCTCTTTTAAAATTTACTAATGGCAGCAGGTCATCTAAATGAACTGTATTTATCACACCTGAGTCAATAACAGATTCATTTATAGCAATGGACACCTTTTTGTCTGATAGTCGAGTTCCTCCTATATTGGCATGGTCCCGTTGAAATGTAAATTGACTGTAGGTATTGGACAAAGCCGTGAAAAACACGGTTATTTTGTCAGTTAACCCACCAGCTTCGATGGACTTGCATAATCTCAAAATGTTTTCACGTAAGGGATCCACAGACAGTACTTGTCGACCTAGCTTGGCAGCCATTAAAGAAAATGTTCCGACATGCGCGCCAAGATCTATTAGCGCCATTTCCGGATTTTCAAGCAGGTATTTATGAACTAAATTAACATTGTCCGGATCCCACATCCCATTCCTAAAAAGCGTTCCCGATACTGACGCGTCGTCAGTCAATTCGTGAACGAAGATAGGGGTTTCACCAGAGGGGCCTTTAAGGGTGGCCTTCAAAAACTTATAATTGCCGCCACAATAGTTCGAAAGTCTTTTCCATTTCTTGTTAACCCATCTTAAGATATGTGCTTGGTCTTTGTTGACTGGTTTATCAAAATTATCTATATATTCTATATGATTTAATGGCTGCGGGCTCTGAAAGTTAGTGTACCTCAGAATACAGAACAGTAGAATCATCATGACGATGGTGAAAAGAAATGGTTTCTTTTTTTGTTTGATGAACCGTAACAATCCCTGAAAATAGAATAGAAAGGTAAATCTTTCATTTATAAAATTTATCAATAAAATTAAAATTTGACCTTTATAAAATTTGTCAATAAAATTAAAATTTGATCTTTATTTCGTTCCGATTTTAATTTTGGTTGACCTAAATGAAGATCTGACGACTTCCAACGAACTATCCGTTCTCTTTAAAAGTCTTATGTTGGTTGCTGTGATTGGTTAAAATCAAGCTTAATGAAAGGCTCAACACACATTTATTAAAGATGGTGTCAGACCATACTAAAAAAAGAGAATGGTAAAATTTCTTTTAAAAAGAATTATTGTTTCTGATCTTATATGGAAGATGGGGGGTGGGATGGCCGAACGGTTAGTGCGTGCGCACTGTTTTTTAAGGTCTGTCATTCGATTCCCCGGCTGTACGTGACTAGGAGTAGGTCCTCCGGTTTCCTTCCACTGCTAAAAACTCCTACACGCAAGCGAATTATTGAAATGAAATTGAACCATATGTTAGTCCCGAAATGATCTAGTTTGTTTCGAGTGGACGCTCTCTCTCTGAACTGTATTTTGGGTTAAAAAATAAATTTAACAAATCCAAACATCTGTTTAGCGGTTTGAGGCTTTTTTAGTGTAACTATTCTTCATTCGGCATGTCTTTACACCATCTTCACCAGGGTAAAAGTGGTTTCGGTATTTCCAGTTGTTAAGAATTTTGGCCCTAATATTAGTTCAGAAATGGTTATGCGATCCGTTTTTACAGCCTTTGTGGTATCATTTCCAGAGATGAACTGAAAACGAGTATGGTAGTTTCAAGGGTCCCTAAACTAGTTAATGTTTTTGCGTAGTTTGGGCCCCCTTTACCTTGTTTTGATGAAATGTTAAGATTGGCACGTAATAGGCATATAAGCTAGAAACACCAGGTATACCCGAGAAAGCACCTTTACAGGCACCGTTCACGCCTGGTTGGAGAGAATCCCCCCGGACTCTACCCCCATAGAGTGGGGACCTCTCACGGCCTCTAGCCCGTCCCTGGTATCATGTCCACCTATATTAACCATAGGTTCATTTAAATATGGTCTACCACCCATATCACTTTCCCAAGGAACTAAAAATAAATAAGTGGTAACCCATCACGGCCCCTAGCCCGTCCCTGGTATCATGTAGACCTATATTAACCATAGGTTCATTTAAATATGGTCTACCACCTGTATCACTTTCCCATCGAACTAAAAATAAATTGTTTATTGGATTTTTCGATGGAACGGAAAAAAATGTTCCGCATAGTATTTATCTGAGAAGAGTTATTCACTGGTGTCTCGTGATGGGTACAAGAAACCCCACGCCCAAATTTGTAGAACCAGATATTTGTATTCAGGACACCTATTTCACACAAACTCTATTTCAAACCTGAAGTATTTTGCCCTCATACTAACAATAAATTTTTTATTGATATTTTCGATTTAATGGAAACGTTCTTGCAGCTGTGAAATACTCGATCAATATACCATGTGTTCATTTATTATAATTTCGGGTCTACCATACGGAAGTTTGCAACACATTTGAACACCATATCTTTCTTCATAAAATGATAATAAATTGTTTATTGGGTAAAACTGAAACATATATTGATTTGTGTTTTTTAGCTGTAAAATAATATACGAATTATCATTTTATAATTAAAGATACATTATGGAAGATTAGATAAAGAGCTGGCAGTTTTCACTATAATAATTAAAAACTAGGTACTGTAATGGGTATTTGCTGAAAATTTTTGCCACGCTTGAACAAAATGCCGAACGAGGCATTCTGGGGTTTATAGTGTGGTAAAACTTTCTTTTAAAAAGAATGATTGTTTCTGCTCTTATATGGAAGATAGGGGGTGGGAAGGCCGAACGGTTAGTGCGTGTTCACTGTATCATAAGGTCTGTCATTCGATTCCCCGGCTGTACTTGACTAGGAGTAGGTCCTCCGGTTTCCTTCCACTGCTAAAAACTCCTACGCGCAAGCGAATTATTGAAATAAAATTGAACCATATGTTAGTCCCGAAATGATCTAGTTTGTGTCGAGTGGACGCTCTCTCTCTCTGAACTATATTTTGGGTTAAAAAATAAATTTAACAAATCCAAACATCTGTTTAGCGGTTTGAGGCTTTTTTAGTGTAACTATTCTTCATTCGGCATGTCTTTACACCATCTTCACCAGGGTAAAAGTGGTTTCGGTATTTCCAGTTGTTAAGAATTTTGGCCCTAATATTAGTTCAGAAATGGTTATGCGATCCGTTTTTACAGCCTTTGTGGTATCATTTCCAGAGATGAACTGAAAACGAGTATGGTAGTTTCAAGGGTCCCTAAACTAATTAATGTTTTAGCGTAGTTTGGGCCCCCCCTTTACCTTGTTTTGATGAAATGTTAAGATTGCCGCACGTTAATAGGCATATAAGCTAGAAACACCGGGTATACCCGAGAAAGCACCTTTACAGGCACCGTTCACGCCCGGTTGGAGATAATCCCTCCGGACTCTACCCCCATAGAGTGGGGACCTCTCACGGCCCCTAGCCCGTCCCTGGTATCATCTACACCTATATTAACCATAGGTTCATTTAAATATGGTCTACCACCCGTATCACTTTCCCAAGGAACTAAAAATAAATAAGTGGTAACCCATCACGGCCCCTAGCCCGTCCCTGGTATCATGTAGACCTATATTAACCATAGGTTCATTTAAATATGGTCTACCACCTGTATCACTTTCCCATCGAACTAAAAATAAATTGTTTATTGGATTTTTCGATGGAACGGAAAAAATTGTTCCGCATAGTATTTATCTGAGAAGAGTTATTCACTGGTGTCTCGTGATGGGTACAAGAAACCCCACGCCCAAATTTGTAGAACCAGATATTTGTATTCAGGACACCTATTTCACACAAACTCTATTTCAAACATGAAGTATTTTGCCCTCATACTAACAATAAATTTTTTATTGATATTTTCGATTTAATGGAAACGTTCTTGCAGCTGTGAAATACTTGATCAATATACCATGTGTACATTTATTATAATTTCGGATCTACCATGCGGAAGTTTGCAACACGTTTGAACACCATATCTTTCTTCATAAAATGATAATAAATTGTTTATTGGGTAAAACTGAAACATATATTGATTTGTGTTTTTTAGCTGTAAAATAATATACGAATTATCATTTTATAATTAAAGATACATTATGGGAGATTAGATAAAGATCTGGCAGTCAGTCAAATTGATCCACTATGAACCGAGATTTTAGCGATTGAATTTTTGGCTTAGCCTCGATCATCATTACTAAAGTCGGTAGGATAAAAAACATACATAGTCTCCATTATCCATTTCATGATTAAATTATGAATGCAAGTCGAACAGCAAATCAGAACTTAACCCAATCAACATCGCAGGCTAGCGATGCCATCGAGTGTTGATTATGGTCTGGATAAGTTAATTAATGTCTAATTAATAATTTAGATAACATATCAGGCCTAAAGAAAGACCTGCTATAGGCAGATTTAGCTCTTGCATAATGTATGTTTAAAGTAATCAAGTAATGCAGAAATTTGCAACATGTTTTAACATCCTATCTTTCCCTCCATTTTCAAGGATGGGCTGAAAAGGGTATGATAGTTTCAGGGTTCCCGAAACTAGTTAATTTCCTTGCTTAGTTTGAGGTCTCCCTTTAGTCATGAATTTGCATAGCTTATGATGAATTGCTAAGGTTGTCACACGTTAAATATACTCTATAAAGCACCATTTGAAGAAATTTTGCGCCTGTTCGGAGGGAACCCCACCGGACCCCCGCCCTTATAGAGTGGGAAGCCCTGACGGAGAAATGATCAATCTCCGCCCCTGTGGTGTTATTTAACCGATAGTAACCACGGGTTCATTTCTGCCTGTTTTTTTGTCTAGCGTCCATTGCTGATGAACTTGTGAAATGAACAGCTGACAGAAATGAACCTGTGTTTGCTATCGGTCTAGATGATACCAGAGACGGACGGCGGGCCGAAAGTCCCTGAACCTGACCTCGCGAAGCGTTACCACTCCACGGGGGTCCGGTGGGATTTTATTCTCCCGGCGCGAACTATCTTTTAAAAATTTACTGTAAATGATGTTTCTGTGGTATGACGTGGTGTTTTCAGCTTATGCACTAATTCTATGTCTGACAATCATCGGAAATTATCTTTTGAACCCCATATTGAATTCACTAACTCTGAAAACTTTATTTTTCAAATAATATCCACAAGGAAAAAAATGGCCATATTGGATTATATTTTCATTGTTGTTTTAAATTTACCCCATCTGGACTATTCATAGTTAGTTTTTTGGATAGAAATTCAAACCCGCCACCTCATAACCTTTATATAAGACATATTACAAGTCATATCTAACGGAAGTAAATTTTTTGGACTGACTATTAATTCAAATTCTGCCGTTTGGGATTTCATTTGCATTTTTGCCATCATGGATTCTCGAATTTTATTTGAGATCCGAACTGAACCCAGCGACACTGAAAACCATATAAATGACATGTTACACAAGTCCTTTCCAACAGGACGATTAACTTAAAATCCGCCATTTTGGATGCCATTTGGAATCGGTTCAGTAATAGATTTTCAAAATTTATAGCTGGCTGGCACCATGTGAAATGCATTTTTTTTTTTTTTTTTTTTTTTTTTTTTTTGTCCAATGCGTTGTTTCAGCACATTTCGCCTCTATCAACAGTTGTGTTTGAAGATTTTTTAAAAAAAATTATTTTCCCACCACTAAAACACACTGATTACGACATAACGCTCTCCGAAAATGGCTAATGAAGACGGGCATGCGCTATACAGTGTGCTATGAGGGACATTTTGCCAGGACAACGGTACTATATGGCCTATTTTTATGTCGAATTCAAACTGCCAAGGGATTTTTTACGTTTACGCCAATGTGTATCCAGGACCTCCGTTTTTCGTCCCATTTCATTTCATTTCGGGGGGGGGGGGGGTTTAGCACATGCGCACTATCATAAGGTCTGCCATTGAGTCAACTGGTGTGGTTGTGATTCTCCGGTTGTACGTGACAAGAAGAAGTTGGATCGCCTGCCAAACCTCGTGGGTTTGTTCCGGGTCCTCCCACTGCTAAAGAACCCTACGCGCAAGCGAATTATTGAAATAAAATTGAACCAAGTTAGGTCCGAAAAGGTCCGGAAGGACCTAGTTTGTGTCGAATGGACGTTAAACCCCAGCTCTCTCTCTCTCTCTCTCTCTCTCTCTCTCTCTCTCATTTCATTTCATTTCAGGTCAACTGCAGCAACCCGGTTATATTACACCGAACATGATTTTTACTAGAATACAGTCATTATCTATACACAAACTACTAGTATATTGAAAACCAGTATAACAAATATCTGTCAATATGTTACAGTCAATGTCTACAATCAGGCAATGTGTACAATGCCTTTGTAACCCTAACCCTAAACCTAACCCTAAACCTAACCCTAACCCGGCAATGTACACATTGTCTGGTATATTTCAGGCATTGTACACATTGCCTGATTGTAGACATTGACTGTCACATATATATATATATATATAAACTTACCCTTAATACGACTTCTCGATACATGTTATTTCTTTTAACGTATCCTAATGTTGGTTTCTCTTGTGTAGTTCGAATATCTGTACGCTGCATAGTCAGCACTATAGTCGTGCTCGTTAGTTCTGCATAGAATGAGACTTTACGAATAGAAGCAGATGAAGCATACTTTTATGAATGATAAGGAGAATGGAAATCTCCACACTTTTCGATTATTACAGTGAAAGTATACGCGGATAGTGTAATACTTAGGCAACACCAATTTGATTCTATGTTTTTCGGACTTTTGATCAATGGGAATGACCTCAAATAAATGTCTAGATTTTGGTGTGAATTGAGTTTTTATTTTGAAAAGAATATAAATGGTGGTGATGGTTGCCACAGAAATGTTAATGTGAAGGATTGTAGATACATCTGTAAGGCCAAACAATTGGAATTTTCTGTTCTTCGTCGTCTTCATATGAAATGAAATTGGGTTTCAAGTCCTACTGTTCTGTCCCGACTGGGCTAATGAAGACTGGCATACGCTATACAGTGTGATATGAGGGAACTTTTGAGCGGGTAGCGACTCTTATATCGAATTCCAATTGCCAAGGGATCTTTTACATGCACGCCATGGTGTACACGGAGCCTCGGTTTTTCGTCTCATCCGAACGACTAGATAGCTGTCCTTGGTAGGTCCTTCGTCCTGCGCCACTGACAAGGGAAACCCGCGTCGGAAAATCCCGATGAAGTTTCTCGTCCAATGCAAGGATCGAACACCCGACCTCCAGACTAGTGAGCCAGCGTCTATTCCAACTTAGCCACCATGGCTCCCTTTTCTCGACGAAATAGAAAAGCAAAATTTATCAGGTTTTCCCGAAGAACAGTCAATCAAATTTTTATTGGTATGGCTTCACAAAGCGCCACACCTTGACGTCGTATCGCCTCAACCTGTTACCAGTCTTTAGTAGTCCGATTGAAGACAAGTAGGACGTTAAACCCCATTTCATTTCCCAATCTGTTACAACGATTTACCATCGGAAACAATGATTTACTGCAACTAAAAAGACAATTACAGGGGGGAGGGCCAGACAAGGACAGCTTTCTAGTCGTTCGGATGGGACAAAAAACCGAGGTCCCGCCTATACATTGGCGTGCATGTAAAAGATCCCTTGGCAGTTGGAATTCGATGTAAGAGTAGGCCATAGTGCCGCTACCCGGGAAAAAGTTCCCTCATTGCATACTGTAAGATGTATGCCCGTCTTCATAAGCCCAGTCGTAGCAGAAAAGTAGGACGTTAAACCCCATTTCATTTCATTTACACAATACTTTTAAATATACTACTACAAAAATATATGAATTTCCTTATATTAGGCCAAACTAATGTGATTTTTCTGTTGTTCGGGAACAGCTGTTTCTTCGAGGAAAAGGGGGGTTGGATGGCTGAATGGTTAGCTTGCGCGCGCTGTATCATAAAGTCTGTCATTGAATCGACTGGCGTGGTTTCGAATCCCCGGTTGTACGTGGCAAGGAGTAGGGTCGCCTGTTCAACCTCGTGGTTTTTCTCCGGTTTCCTCCCACTGCTAAAGACCCCTACGCGCAAGCGACGCGCAAGCGAATTATTGAAATAAAATTAAACCATATGTTAGTCCCGAAATGACCTAGTTTGTGTCGAGTGGACGTTAAACCCCATTTGTCTCTTTCTCTCTCTTCGAGGAAAAGATTATTGTAAAACCCAAAAGTACACGGTTGCACTGCTTAAAATCCTATTGATCTAATGTTTTTATTCTTTAAATGTTAAACAAAACAGCTTTCATGTGATTCAAGTGGCTATTTATGACCCCAAACTGTAAGTTAATTTGGTCTGGCCTCACTAACCCACATATAACATAAATTATAATTTTTATCAAAATAGTAATATAGACAATCATTGATTATTTGTGAGATCAGAACAAAGCCGGTAACATCTGCTCCTGACACGCGTTTGTCAAATAAAAACGTTAGATCCGTACTGGTTTGTACACGCCATAAGAAATGAAATGGGGTTTAACGTCCTACTGTTCTGCTCCGAACTGGGCTAATGAAGACGGGCATACGCCATACAGTTTGCTATGAGGGAAATTTTGCCCGGACAGCGGCACTATGGCCTACTCTTATATCGAATTCCAACTGTCAAGGGATCATTTACGTGCACGCCAATATGTACACGGGACCTCGGTTTTACGTCCCATCCGAACGACTAGACAGCTGTCCTTGTCAGGCCCTACGTCCTGCATCACTGACAAGGGGAAACCATGCCGGAAAATCTGGTTGAACTTTCTCGGCCAATGCAGGGATCAAACACCCGACCTCCAGGCTAGCGAGCCAGCGTCCCCACTTAGGCCACGTCACCCCCCACACGCCATAAGAACAGTTTTTATGCGGCATTCCTACCTAAGTTATCGACGGCAGGGACTTTTAAATCATTGAAAATATGCACATACAAAGTACCTAAACTTTATTATGCCGCTCAGAGAGGAGTATTGAAATGAGCTCCATTCTTTTCCCGGGGGAGGGGGAAGTGGGGGGGGGCGTCTTCATTAGCACAATTGGTGCAGTACTGTGGGACGTTAAACCCTAGTCAGGAAATGTGAGCCTAGTCGTTCGTGAGGCTCTGAAACCCGAGATCCACCACCTTGACAGTTAAAAATCGAAGAAGAGTAGGCGAAACCGCCAATGTTCAGGTAAAATTCCACAACTTTGAATGTAACACGTAACCATAGAAATAAGAATTTCCGTATGTTTTCTCTAAACGACCACAGTATTTGATGAGGCATTAAACAGCCTCGTCTATTAAAGGAACTAAATAGCTAATATTTGGGACCTAGAAATGGATCAAATGGGTCGCAACGCCTGTAAAAATTTATTACGAATGTATATAAGCTGATTTACATCCAATCGTTTCTGTTTCTACTGTAATTTCTAATCAGTTATGTTCGGCGAAATGCGCCAGAAGTCTCAATTGAATGGCAATCACCCAAAGAGAATTTCAGTCAGTGTTTTTAAGTATTTTATGTTCAAACGTTTATTCGAGTACTTATAATGAGGTTTATGAACGCTCCTCAGATCAGAGATTTTGAGATTGATTTTAATTTAAAGGAGCTAAACTCAGTATTATCCATAATATTCAAAATTCAAAACAGGAATTGAAATTCATTTTAAGACCTATTTTCTTCTATTGTAAGGATTCGAAGAATATCATTTAAACATACATTATGCAAGAGCTAAATCTGCCTATTGCAAGTCTTTCTTTAGGCCTGAAATGTTATCTAAATTATTAATTGGACATTAATTAAATTATCCAGACTATAATCAACTCTCGATGCCATCGTTAGCCTGTGATATTTACTGGATTTGAATACGTTTTGTGATGGATAATTTAACATACCAACGTCAGTAATAACGATCGAGACTAGTCTAAAATTCAATGGCTAATATCTCGGTTCATTTGACTGAAATTTTCCGCATATTTTCTTTTCATTGTCAATTTTTTAACTACTATAACGAGAACTTTTAGCTCTTTATCTGATCTTACCTAATTCCCCTTTAAACTTGGGGGGTTCGATGGCCGAATGGTTAGCACGTGCACGCTGCGCTGTGTCATACGGTCTGTCATTGAGTCAACTGGCGGGGTTTCGATTCCTCGGTTGTACGTGACAAGGAGTAGGGTCGCCTGTCCATCCTCGTGGGTTTTCTCCGGGTCCTCCGGTTTCCTCCCATTGCTAAAGACCCCAACGCGCAAGCGAATTATTGAAATAGATTTGAACCATGTGTTAGTCCCGAAATGACCTAGTTTGTGTCGAGTGGACGTTAAACCCCATTTCTCTCTCCCTTTAAACTTGGCCAGTTTATCAAACTAGACAAAATGAATGAAACCTATTGAATCTAATTAGGTCTAATACATCGTTCTTATCGTTTTACTGGTTTCGATTCCCCGGTTGTATGTGACAGGGAGTAGAGTCGCCTGTCTAACTTCGTGGGTTTTCTCTGGGTCCTCCGGTTTCGTCCTACTGTTAAAGACCCCTACGCGCGAGCGAATTATTGAAATAAAATTGAACCATGTGTATTCCCCGAAATGACCTAGTTGGTGTCGGATGAACGTTAAACGCTCTCTCTCTCTCTCTCTCTCAACGGGCTTGTATGTCGATGTGAGCTACTATGCTCAACGGAATTATCTCCCCTTCCATATTTTAAAGTAATAGGTGCCGAATCAAAAACACAATTTATTGGATAACAATTACTATGATGCCGAATGTTAAAAAAAACTTCAACTCGCTATATTTTTGTTCATGGGGCAGAGTGTGTGTGTGTGTGGAGGGGGGGGGGGGATCTGACTTTTTGGACAGCTGGGTAAAGTGAAAAAAAAAATATTATTTCATCTAGCTGGCAAAATAAAGTGCCCGAAATCTAATAAAACACTAATTTTACTATTCTTTTATTCTTTTAATTGAATACCACGAATTAGAACTGAATTGTCTATGGATTAAAACATTTTGTTTGGAGTCAGTCTACTTTGTGCGACATTTTTTCGGGCATCGATTATTATTTGTGAATGCAGTTGCAACAGTGGGATTGGGTGGTTGGAATTCAGGTCGGCATGGAGTGGGATTTCTGTTACAAAACTATTAGACAACTTTAGAGTTGCTTAACACACAGGCTAGAGAAGCAGAAAAACGCATTTGCGGTAGTTAAATTTTCAAAATTTTCTCCGGGAGTGCGAGGACCCCATACCCCGCGACGATTCGTCGTTGGGGATTCAGGTCAGCCACTAAAAGTAGGCTATATTGTACCATTGAAGTTGCTATATTCACAGGCTGAAATAGCAGGAAAATGCATTTGCGGCAGTTAAATTTTCAAAATTTTCGCCCGACGGTTCCGTTTCTGTGGACTGTAAACGATTGATTGGTTGATTGGAATTCGAGTCAGACATCTTAATTAGGAAATATTAGACCACTTTGAAGTTGCTGTATTTAGAGGCTGGAACAGCAGGAAAACGCGTTTGCGCGCCTTCATATTGTCTCGCAGAGGAACGGCGCCGCCGTCTGTAACCTTAATTTTTTTTCCGGGCATTTCGGATTCTGCCCCCCCCCCCCCCCCCACTGTCATCGACGGTTCCGTTTCTGTGGACTGTAAACGATTGATTGGTTGATTGGAATTCGAGTCAGCCATCTTAATTAGGAAATA